AAATGTGGCAAATCCCTGTGTTTTTGGACCCTGACCCCGCGGATCTGCGTGAGGGGTGGCACCGAATTTCAGAAATGTGGCAAATCCCTTGTGTTTTTGGACCCTGACCCCGCGGATCTGCGTGAGGGGTGGCGCCGAATTTCAGAAATGTGGCAAATCCCTGTGTTTTTGGACCCTGACCCCGCGGATCTGCGTGAGGGGTGGCACCGAATTTCAGAAATGTGGCAAATCCCTGTGTTTTTGGACCCTGACCCCGCGGATCTGCGTGAGGGGTGGCACCGAATTTCAGAAATGTGGCAAATCCCTGTGTTTTTGGACCCTGACCCCGCGGATCTGCGTGAGGGGTGGCACCGAATTTCAGAAATGTGCAAATCCCTGTGTTTTTGGACCCTGACCCCGCGGATCTGCGTGAGGGGTGGCACCGAATTTCAGAAATGTGGCAAATCCCTTGTGTTTTTGGACCCTGACCCCGCGGATCTGCGTGAGGGGTGGCACCGAATTTCAGAAATGTGGCAAATCCCTTGTGTTTTTGGACCCTGACCCCGCGGATCTGCGTGAGGGGTGGCACCGAATTTCAGAAATGTGGCAAATCCCATGTGTTTTTGGACCCTGACCCCGCGGATCTGCGTGAGGGGTGGCACCGAATTTCAGAAATGTGGCAAATCCCTTGTGTTTTTGGACCCTGACCCCGCGGATCTGCGTGAGGGGTGGCACCTAATTTCAGAAATGTGGCAAATCCCTTGTGTTTTTGGACCCTGACCCCGCGGATCTGCGTGAGGGGTGGCACCTAATTTCAGAAATGTGGCAAATCCCTTGTATTTTTGGACCCTGACCCAGCGGATCTGCGTGAGGGGTGTCGATTTCGAGCCCCCCCAGCAATTCAGACAACGCGCTCAGGAGACGCTAAAATGCCACTTTGGGCCTCCCCCCCCCTCGCGCGGTCAATCAACTAGTTACAGTAACCAGCAATAAGTCAACTACTTACAGTAACCAGCAAGAAGCAGAACTGTAACACTGGAAACTACAAGCTACAACTGGTACAGGAAACTGCGAACCTCGCTCCTACAGCCTGGTGGCCCCAAGGGGGCCGGCGGACTTCGCGCGCTGCACCTGCGATCCACCAGCGTGCCGAGACGCGCGCAGATGTGCGTTACACAACGTGCATCTTACTGAAGGGCTTCGGTGGACAAACACTCGTTAGCGTTAACACACGTTCTGAGGATCATCGAGGATTGACCCGGTCAGAAGATCCCCGAATCCCCGCCCCGAGGGAGCATCGGCACGATCATAATGGATACGGAACAAATTGGTAAGATGCCCAGCAGCAGCTCTTGTTCCAAAGTCATGGATCTGTCCTGCATGTTTGAAGGATTTTGGCATTTGCTTCTTTTTGGCTTTCCGACGGCCCGAGTCAGCCCAAGAGCCCCTCAAAATCGCCCAAGAGGCTTCCAAGATGGGTGCGGAAGTAATGGGTACGATGTTGTAGGCCTTCCAGATGAAGATCGCGCCGCATCGCCGATGCATCACAGATGCGGCGCGATGCGGGCCCGATTTTCGCCATGCATCAACTCCGACCCCATCTGGGAGGCTGCAAAATGGGTATGGAAAGAACGGGTACGATGCCCAGCAGCAATTCTTGTTCATTTTGAACAGGGTTCGCTGTCCGCGCCGCTGTGGACGTTGTCTATCTGAGGCAGTCGGCCGCCTGCCTAACACTGGCCGCTGTTGGTATTGAACAACATTTGTCGTTGGGCATCGTACCCATTTTTTCCGTGCCCATTTCGGTCGTCTACAGGCGCAAACCGGGCCACCTTTCCAGCGAGGCAGGTTTGCTCGGGCGGGTGTCATTGGCAACGATAGGGGGGGATAGGCATACGGTAGGTTCGTGTCGTGTCGACCGGCGGCGACCCCGCCGTTGGCGTTCAATGTTGAACGCCGCTGGCGACCCAGAATCGGTCGATGTGGAACGATCTGATGTTTCTGGGACGGCCGATCGTTCAAAATTGAACGATCTCCGTGGTGTCAGAAACCAACGCCGAAGTCGGCACGACACGAACCTAACGTAGGGGGGGACGCATCGACCCACGATTGCCAATTGATCGCCGAGAAGGACCTGATAGCCCCACCCGTCCCTGGAAGTTTCGGATTCGCTGTCGGGGCCCATCGCCGATCTATGGTCGATGTATCGCCAGTTCCAGAGGAGGGTTCATATTTCTCGCCCGCCCACGCAGCTTCGCGTCGCACGCTCGACGCGAGCACGAGACTGACACCGATTTCCCGTTAAGGGGGGTTTTCGTCTCATTTCTCGAGCGTTGCCCCCCGGGAAATCCCCGGAGATCCAGGGCCTGCTTCCCTCAAAGCCCGTCTCTGTCATCCCAGAGGAAGTTATGATCATCTTCGGAACCACCCCACCCCCACCAGGGCATGGTAAGATGGCCGCTCCGAAACCCGAAGGAGACGGTACCCATCCCCACCTAGGAGGGTAGAGATCCCAGCGGACCACAGTTTCCCCGGTGGGTGTGGGGCTTCTCCGTCCAGAATTTAATTGAATCGCTTCGCTCATTCCGCCGGCCCGTGATATGGCATCGCTGGTTTTTGTCTGTGTGTTCGTTGCCCATGTTGCGCTCTTGGGGGCGGGTGTCGTTCGGACGCGTTGCGTGGGGAGTTTTGATGGTGAAGCAGTTCCCTGGGGGTCGTCTCTCGATGGGGCGAAATAGAGTCGTCGTCAAGATGCTTCTTTGGGGGGCCTCTTGGGGTCTGTTGAGAGGCCGTTCGGGGGCGCCTGGGAGACATGTTTGAAGCCTTCTGGGGCTTCTTTTGGGCCTCCTGGGAGTCTCCTGGGGCCTCTTGGCGACATCTTGGGGCCTCTTGGAGGCCTCTTGGGGCCTCTTTGGGACCTCCTGGGCGCCTTCTGGGACGGAGGGCTCCATTTTTGAGTTCTCGGTATCCCTCCTGAGTCCCTCTTGGGCCCGTCTTGGGGCCTCTTGGTCCGTCTTGGGCGGCACTTGGGCCGTCTTGAGGGCTCTCTTGGGTCGTTTCGGCGCCGTCTTGGGAGCTTCGTGGGCCGTCTTGGAGCGGTCTTGGGGGCCTCTTGGGCCGTCTTGGAGCGTCCGGAAGCCGAAAAAGCCAGAACACAAAAAACATAGAAAAAAAACCAATGAAAATCAACGATTTTGGCCTCTTGGGGCTCTCTTCGGAGGCCTCTTGGAAGGCTCTTGGGGCGTCTTGGAGGCCTCTTGGGCTGTCTTGGGGGCCTTTTGGGCCGTCTTGGGGTCATCTTCGGCGTCTTGGAGCGCTCTTTGGGCGTCTCGCTCTTTGGGCGTCTCGGGGGCCTCTTGGGGCACTCTGAGCGCGCTCTGGGGAGCCTGAGAGGCCGCACCCAGAAGGAAAACCATCTCTGAGTAGACTTGGTCGGGCGGTGGTCGGGCGGCGGTCGGGCGGCGACCGGGCGTTGGTCGGGGTACTTTTCGCCGGGGGACCCCCAGGGGCCGCCCCGCGCGCGCGAACTAGAAATACTGTTAATACTGTTAACCAGTTACTGGAGATCTTAGCACGCCCTGGCCCGTTGGGCCGGCGAATTTTTCGAGGATCTAGTTTTTCTACGTAGGAGGGCGTCTATCTTGCGATTCAGGCGAGTTCATTTACATCGCATTTCCCTCCCCCCATCCCCCCTCCGCCGCCTTTTTGCGCAACGGCGTGCAAGTGAGTCCCGCCTTGCTTGAAGTCCAGGTTCCCTTCCGGGCCTCGCCACGCCCACCTCTGTCAAGAAGACCTGGTCAGAATCTGACCAACATTTGCTTCTTGTCTGGGCTCCCGGAAGGCTTCCCGCCGCATCGGCGTAGGCGTCGTTCCACATGGGGAGGGCGATCAATGGAGGGGGAAGAACAGGTGCACTTCTCGTGCCCTGAAGGGGCCCCCTTTGGAGCCCTTCAGGGCCCCTTTGGGGGCCCTTAATGGCATCATTTTCTGCAGCCCTCGCTGCCCTCATGTATCGCCCCCCGTGAATCCAGGCCTCCTGGATGGGGTTCGAGCAGATGGGGTCGAGTGCTCGCGCCGCATCGCCGATAAAGTGGCGACGGGGCTCGATGTGGAGCCAGATTTTCTTCACGCCGGCGGCGCCGATGCATCGCCGACGTCGCCAGTACATCGCCGATGCATCGGCAGTGCATCGGCGATGCGGCGCGATCCTCCGACCCCATCTACTCGGAGGCCTCCAATTCAGCGACGACCAGTCGGCTGGACTCCCGAGGGAGGAAGGGAGGGAGGGAGGAGGAAAGGAGGGAGGGAGGAGAGAAGGGGGGGGGAAGGAGGGAGGAGGGAGGGAGGGAGGGGGGGGGGAAGGAGGGGAAGGAGGGGAAGGAGGGAGGAGGAGAGGAGGGAGGGGGGGAGGGAGGAGGGAGGAGGGGGGAGGAGGAGAGGGAGGAGGGAGGAGGGAGGAGGGAGGAGGAGGAGGGAGGAGGAGGAGGAGGAGAGGAGGAGGAGGAGAGGAGCGCCCTCGGGACTCCCGGCCTCTCGGCCGTGCTCCGCGCCACACCGCCGCGGCTCAAGCCGCCTCGAGCCGCCCCCCCCCCCCCCCCCCCGCCTGTGGGCCTCCGCGCACGCGGCCCCCGCGCGCGCTCGGCAGCAACTCATGGGCGCCACCGCTGTCTTCGCAGTTGCGTCGTCAGGGTGCTCGTCGGAGGAGGAAAAGGCACCGATACCGCCGCCCTTCGCCCGCTTCCACCCGATATGTGTCGGTCTCGTCGGAGGCCCTCGTCGCCACCGCCGGATTCGCCTCGAAATCCAGGTGGGAACGCGGCCCGGGAGGGGTGGGGAGTCGCGGTATCGGTACCTCTGGTTCTCGCCATTCGGGGTGCTCCAGCCCACATTAGCGGCTGGTAATCGATGGGATAGCGCCGATGTGGCGCCGAGCAGCGTCAACCAGCGTCGGTGCGCGTCGGTCAGCGTCGGGTCGCACGAGCCAGCAAGATGGCGCGGGAGGCCTCCACGAGTTGCCGCAGGACGCGCGCGCCCGTCCGCCGCCCCCCGCCGCCGCGATGCTGCTGGGCGTGGCCACCGCAGGCCGGGGCGCCCACAAACCCACCGGGGCCGGCAGCGGTGCGGCCGCACGCCCTCGCACCGTCGGTCTATGGTGGGGGGCACAGCTGCGCAGGTTCTCGGCTGCCCCCAAGGCAGCTACAGCTGCCACGCCGCCTGGTGAGCCAGAGGAGAAATCTGGGCACCTCGAGTCATTAGCACCACCAGCCCTCCCGGGAGCGATGTCCAGGCGAGTTGCCCTGATCAGGCATGCGGAGGAGCATGCAGTGGAAGAGCGGGCCGGGGAAGCCACCATGCCCCAAGAGGGGACAGGAGAATGAGGATGGAGATGGGGGGGAGTCGGAGGAGGCACAGGGAGGGTAGCAGGAGGACGAGGAGGAGGAGGAGGAGGAGTACCAGAGAAAACCCAAGAATCAGCATCGATGTTGCAGTAAACCCTCCCTCCGAGTTTCCTCTCCACAGGCCCCAGCAAGGATCCACTTGCGCTGATGGAAGTGCTCCGTTGGAAGACAGCCGTGAAGCCAGTCCTGAGCCGTGCTGCGGCACCACTCCTGGGAGCTCCATGCCGCGAATGCCTTGGCATCGCTCGGACATGTGCATAGCGAGGATCGGGGGAGGAACCGAGGATCTCGGGATCTCGAGGATCTCAAGGATCTCGAGGATCTCGAGGATCGAGGCTCGAGGATCTCGAGGATCTCGAGGATCTCGAGGATCTCGAGGAGCGAGGCTCGAGGAATCGAGGCTCGAGGAGGAGCGTGGCGCGAGGGGCCGAGGAACCGAGGGATCGAGGGCCGACGGGGAGGAGGAGGATCCGGCTGGGTTGCGGCCTCCTCCCCCTCCTCCTCCTCCTCGTCCTCCTCCTCCTCCTCCTCCTCCTCTCCTCCTCCTCCTCCTCCTCCTCCTCCTCCTCCTCCTTCCTCCTCCTCTCCTCCTCTCCTCCTCCTCCTCCTCCTCCCTCCTCCTCCTCCTCCTCATCCTCCTCCTACTCTCCTCCTCCCTCCTCCTCCTCCTCCTCCTCTCCCCTCCTCCTCCTCCTCCTCCCCCGCCGCAGGGCCGGCCCGCGCGCTGGCCCTGAGCCTCGCGCTGGCCGGCGGCGCGGCTGCGGCGGGCGCAGGCCGTGGCCGTGCGGCCGCCGCCGACCTCTCGCCATCGCTGGCACGGCGAGCACGCGCGTGAGCTGAGATCGGGCGTGTCCCTGCACAGATCGACGAGCGCGTTCCACTACTCGCAAAGTAACGACTCGCAAATGACCTGGATCCCCCTCGGGGGATCCACGATAGATTATATCAAAGCAGACATGTGTTTTTTTCGGACGTTCGCGAGTAGGCACTTTGCGGGTAGTGGAACGCGCTCGGCGCACAAAGAGGAACATTCGAGAAGAGCCAGAACCTGGTCTGGGGACGATGTCTCGACTACGCCTGGGCCAATCCTGAGGATGCTATGGCTGTGTCTGACTTGGCTGCCGAGACTCCGCCTGCATGGGGACATGCCCCGACCCGAGAGCACGCTGCCCCGTGACAGGGGCAACGCCCGCAGGGCGCATCTCGACTCCTCCGTCTCGATTCGGTTCGAGTTCGAGTTCGATTGCGATTCCATTTCAGAGTCCGATTTGGATCGCGGATTGTCTCGGCGGAGGCTTTGCCAGCCTGCCGATTCCTCCGATATTCGGCTCTTCCCGACCTGACTGCCGATTCCTGCCGATCCGACTCTTTTCGATCGCCGATCCGACTTACCGTTACGACTCGGGGCTCTTCTGCGTAAGCTGCGCTTCGTCAGGGGGAACGTCAGGGGGGACTGATCGACTACACGTAAGAGTGACCCTTGACCGGAGCGACCTTTGGTGCGGGCCGACAGGGGTCCACCCAGCATTGGCTGGCGCGCTTGGATTTTGCCCCCCCCCCCCCCCCCCCCGCCCCGCTGCCCCCTAAAGACGTGCAACAAAGGTCAAGCTTGTCTAGGGCCCCTTTTACGTGTATGCGAACAGGCTACCGACACCGCTGGACTCGAGTTTGTTGGGACTTCGGTTTGTCGACGTTTTTTTGGCGAGCCCGCACTGGATCTTGACGGTTTAATTTTCGTGGTATGCTTGCATCGGGAGTTCGCGCCAGATTTCAGACTGGGTCTGGTCATGCCAATTTGGGTCCCCCGAGCCCGAGTCTCACGTCTCCCCGTGAGGGGGCAGCGTTAGGGGGGGGGGCGTTAGGATGGGATAGGGGCAGGGCAGCGTTAGGAGGGGATAGGGTTCCGATACCGATGCCCATGCCTCGTTTCCGCAGTTCGAGTGCCTCATGGGAGGCCTTGGTCGCCACTGCTGATGCGATGATCGACGGCCAGCATGATCGAGGGATCCATGGAGTAGCGGCATCGGTATCCTATTACCTCCCCAAGAGTGCGCCCATGCCCTGCGACGGCGCCGAGGCCTCCCGAAGACGCCGATGCCGACGAAGGCAGCGACGCCTCACGACGGCGGCGGCGACACCGAGATCGCCGACGCCGACGCCTTCCACGAGGCCGGCGCCTCCCGACGCCGATGTCGACGAAGGCAACGACAGCGACGCCGACGGCGGCGGGCGAGCGGCGGCGGCGGCCGCAGGCGAGTCGCGCGCGGCCGCGGCCCAGCAGTCCTGGGCCGCCGCCGGCTTGGGCGCCCCCGAGCACGCAGAAGGGGGCGGCTCAGCTGCAGCGGGGCTGAGGCAGCGGGGGGCAAACCATGGCACCACCTCCCCCTACCCCCCCTCCTACTCCCCCTCCTCCTCTCCTCCCCTCCTCCCCCTCCTCCCCTCCTCGCACTCCCCTCCTCCCCCTCCTCCCCCCCCCCCCCCTCCTCCTCCCCCGACGCCTCCTCCTCCTCCTCCTCCTCCTCCTCCTCCTCCTTCTCTCCCTGTCCTCCTGTTCCTCCTCTTTCTTCTCCTCCCCTTCCTCACCCTTCTTTTCATCCTCCCGCTCCTTCCGAAGCAGAGCCGATGTAGGCCTGGGCGTGCTTTCGAATCAAGGAAGGAGTATTGTATAAGGAAACGTTTTCCGTTTTTTTCTCAGGGAAGCCATTAGAATGAGGAGCCATTAGTAGATAACCCTCAGCAAGGGCTGCGGAGTAAGCAGTCCATAGTAAGGGCATTTTAAAAAGGAATGAAGTCTGAGTACGGGATTGTTAGTAAAGAATCCTGATTCGGGATTTCCCCATGCAGGAGTCCTTAGTAGGGAATATTGAATCGCTTCGCTCATTCCGCCGGCCTGTGATATGGCATCGCTGGTTTTTGTCTGTGTGTTCGTTGCCCATGTTGCGCTCTTGGGGGCGGGTGTCGTTCGGACGCGTTGCGTGGGGAGTTTTGATGGTGAAGCAGTTCCCTGGGGGTCGTCTCTCGATGGGGCGAAATAGAGTCGTCGTCAAGATGCTTCTTTGGGGGGCCTCTTGGGGTCTGTTGAGAGGCCGTTCGGGGGCGCCTGGGAGACATGTTTGAAGCCTTCTGGGGCTTCTTTTGGGCCTCCTGGGAGTCTCCTGGGGCCTCTTGGCGACATCTTGGGGCCTCTTGGAGGCCTCTTGGGGCCTCTTTGGGACCTCCTGGGCGCCTTCTGGGACGGAGGGCTCCATTTTTGAGTTCTCGGTATCCCTCCTGAGTCCCTCTTGGGCCCGTCTTGGGGCCTCTTGGTCCGTCTTGGGCGGCACTTGGGCCGTCTTGAGGGCTCTCTTGGGTCGTTTCGGCGCCGTCTTGGGAGCTTCGTGGGCCGTCTTGGAGCGGTCTTGGGGGCCTCTTGGGCCGTCTTGGAGCGTCCGGAAGCCGAAAAAGCCAGAACACAAAAAACATCGAAAAAACCAATGAAATCAACGATTTTGGCCTCTTGGGGCTCTCTTCGGAGGCCTCTTGGAAGGCTCTTGGGGCGTCTTGGAGGCCTCTTGGGCTGTCTTGGGGGCCTTTTGGGCCGTCTTGGGGTCATCTTCGGCGTCTTCGAGCGCTCTTTGGGCGTCTCGGGGGCCTCTTGGGCAGTCTTGGGGGCCTCTTGGGGCACTCTGAGCGCGCTCTGGGGAGCCTGAGAGGCCGCACCCAGAAGGAAAACCATTTCTGAGTAGACTTGGTCGGGCGGCGGTCGGGCGGCGGTCGGGCGGCGGTCGGGCGTTGGTCGGGGTACTTTTCGCCGGGGGACCCCCAGGGGCCGCCCCGCGCGCGCGAACTAGAAATATTGTTAGTACTGTTAACCAGTTACCGGAAATCTTAGCACGCCCTGGCCCGTTGGGCCGGCGAATTTATGGAGTATCCCCTTCCACCAGGAAGCCATTCGTAACTATTCCCTAGTAAGGTGTCATTAGTAAGGGATCCTCTGCAGGGAACCCTCAGTCGAAAATTCTTTAGGAAAGAGTTTGTTCTGCCGCTGCTGGCAGAGAAACGGGAAAGGGGGCACTGGGGGTTTCTAACCCGTCCCCCCCTCCTCGAAAACCGGGGGGGGTCACTGGGGGTTCGACCCCCCCCCTCCCGGTCCATCATGAAAAGGGTCACTACCGATTCGACCCCCACCCCAACGACCCCCCCCACTCCCCCCTACCCACACCCCACTCTCGCCGCAACGACTTCCCTCCTCCCTCACTCCGGATGGGGGACTGTGTTGGGGACAGTGATTGGGACGGTGGTGGGGATAGTGGTGAGGAGTGGGGACAGTGGGAAGTGGTGGGGACAGTGGGAACTTTGAGGACAGTGTGACCGTGGTGGGGACAGTGGCGGGGACAGTGGGGAAAGTGTGATTGTGGTGGGGGCACTGGTGGGGAAAGTGGGGACAGTGGGAACAGTGGTGGGAAGAGTGGGGACAGTGGGACATTGGTGGGGACAGTAGGGACTGGGACAGTGGTGGGGACGGTGGTGGTGGGGACAGTGGCGAGGGGACGTTGGGATAGTGGTCGGGACAGTGGTGACAGTGGGACAGTGGTGGGGACGGTGCTAGTGGGGACTAGTGAGGGCGGTGGTGTGGACGGTGGTGGACAATGGGACAGTGGTACAGTGGGGAGAGTGGTGGGGACAGTGGGGACAGTGGGGACAGTGGGACAGTGGTGGGGACAGTGGGAACAGTGGGACAGCACAGTAGGACAGCGGTGGGGACAGTGTGGACAGTGGTACAGTGGTGGGGACAGTGGGATCGTGGTGGGGACAGTGGTGGGGACAGTGGGGATAATGCGACAGTGGTGGGGGCACTGGTGGGGACTGTGGGGGCAGTGGTGGGAACAGTGGGGACAGTGGGATATTGGCGGGGACAGTGGGGACAGTGCGACAGTGGTGGGGGCGGTAAGGGTGGGGACAGTGGTGAGGGCGGTGGTGCGGACGGTGGTGTGGACCGGGGAGTCGTTTGCCAGCGGCGAGTGGAGCGGGGGGGTCGAGCCAGTACAGTGACCCCTCCCGGTTTTCCGGAGTGGCGGGTGTTTGCCGTGGGAGGGGGGGGGGAGGGGTTCGCGCGGGGGGGGGTCGAGCAGGGGAGGAAGGGAGGGGGGGGGGGAATTTTCCACCGCAGAGCGGCGGCGGTGGATTTCTTTTTAAGGACCCTGAGTGATTAGCCCGTAGTAAGTGATTCGGTAATCTGCAGTAGGGCCTCTTGGTAGGGCATCGGTCGTACGAAATGCTGAGTCGCGAATCCGTGGTTAGAAAAAACTGCCCAGGAATTCGGCGTAATTCGCCGGCCCAACGGGCCAGGGCGTGCTAAGATCTCCGGTAACTGGTTAACAGTATTAACAGTATTTCTAGTTCGCGCGCGCGGGGCGGCCCCTGGGGGTCCCCCGGCGAAAAGTACCCCGACCAACGCCCGACCGCCGCCCGACCGCCGCCCGACCGCCGCCCGACCAAGTCTACTCAGAGATGGTTTTCCTTCTGGGTGCGGCCTCTCAGGCTCCCCAGAGCGCGCTCAGAGTGCCCCAAGAGGCCCCCAAGACTGCCCAAGAGGCCCCCGAGACGCCCAAAGAGCGCTCGAAGACGCCGAAGATGACCCCAAGACGGCCCAAAAGGCCCCCAAGACAGCCCAAGAGGCCTCCAAGACGCCCCAAGAGCCTTCCAAGAGGCCTCCGAAGAGAGCCCCAAGAGGCCAAAATCGTTGATTTTCATTGTTTTTTCGATGTTTTTTGTGTTCTGGCTTTTTCGGCTTCCGGACGCTCCAAGACGGCCCAAGAGGCCCCCAAGACCGCTCCAAGACGGCCCACGAAGCTCCCAAGACGGCGCCGAAACGACCCAAGAGAGCCCTCAAGACGGCCCAAGTGCCGCCCAAGACGGACCAAGAGGCCCCAAGACGGGCCCAAGAGGGACTCAGGAGGGATACCGAGAACTCAAAAATGGAGCCCTCCGTCCCAGAAGGCGCCCAGGAGGTCCCAAAGAGGCCCCAAGAGGCCTCCAAGAGGCCCCAAGATGTCGCCAAGAGGCCCCAGGAGACTCCCAGGAGGCCCAAAAGAAGCCCCAGAAGGCTTCAAACATGTCTCCCAGGCGCCCCCGAACGGCCTCTCAACAGACCCCAAGAGGCCCCCCAAAGAAGCATCTTGACGACGACTCTATTTCGCCCCATCGAGAGACGACCCCCAGGGAACTGCTTCACCATCAAAACTCCCCACGCAACGCGTCCGAACGACACCCGCCCCCAAGAGCGCAACATGGGCAACGAACACACAGACAAAAACCAGCGATGCCATATCACGGGCCGGCGGAATGAGCGAAGCGATTCAATTAATCAATCCTTAGTGGGGAATCTGTCGTGAGGAACCCTTCAGAGCACACACTTCCATACTAAGGGGTAGGACGCACGGAGTCTGCGTCTGGAGTCTTCAGCGGGGATTTCTGTCGATCCGGAATCCTTAGTCAGGGATCATTGGTCTGGAGTCTTCAGCGGGGAGTTCTTCGCAAGGCGTGCTTAGTAAGGATTCCTTAGTGAGAAACCCATCCGTAGGGTCCTCTTAGTCGGGAACCCTTTATATGGACCGCTCAGCAGGAACTCCTTCGCAGGGAATCAGGGAATCTGTATCCAGGAATCCTAAAGAGGGAGCCCTTGCCAAGGTCTCCTTAAGGAGAAGTCCATGTTCCAGAATCCTGATTCGGGAAGCATCAGTATGGAACCCCCATTTGGGAGTCATTATGAAATAATCAATTTATATCGAGTGTGTTCGTCTGGCATCCTTCGTAGGTAAACCTTTGTAGGATATACTCAGTAGGGAATCCTTGGATATGGGGAATCTTACTAGAATCAGGAACTCTCAGTAAGGAACCTTGACCCAGCTCCAGTTGGATAGTACCACTACCATGCGCAAGACGGGAGAAAAGGGGGGATGGGAAGGTCCAGCTCCTCCTCCTCCTCCTCCTCCTCCCTCCCTCCCTCCCTCCCTCCCTCCCTCCCTCCGTCCCCTGCCTCCCTCCCTCCCTCCCTCCCTCCCTCCCTCCCTCCCCTCCTCCTGCGTATGGCAGGGGTGGTGGCAGATCGGGCCGCACTCCTCCCAGGCAGGGCCTGGTGCTGCCGGCGGGGGCCCCCGTGCCCGCGGCGCTGGCGCCCCTTCGGGGCGCCCGCTGCCTGGGCGGCGCCGCGCCGCCGCGCGGCCTGCTCGGGGGCTTCCTCGCGCGCGGCGGGGGCGCGCCCGCGGGAGGCCCGCCCAGGCGCGCCCCCGGCGGCCGCCGGTCGCCGCCGTTCCGTCGAGGCAGAGGATCGACCGCGCGTAAGAGTGACCCTTCGCCGGAGTGACTGTTGGTGCAGGCTCTTGGGCGCCGCATAATGGGGGGGTCATAAATGGGGGGGTGGCGAGGGTGGTTCGAAAAGGTACCCAAACGGTACCTAAACGAGCCCCCTGGGCCTCTGGAGGGGCCCGAAAGGGGCACGAAAGGGGACCTTGTCTGACCCCTCCATCTATGACCCCCCCATTAAGCCACGCCCAAGGCTCATCGGGCTCCCCCCGATCGCCGAGCGCGATGCGATGTAGACGGCCCGCGCCCTTGGGTCTGGCTCCCTCGCGCCCCCAAAAGCTGCGCACCAAAGGTCACTCTTACCCAGGGTCACTCTTGCGTTTAGCCGAGAGGGGCAAGCAGGAGGGCGAGGCGGGACAGCGACGGGGCCTCTCGGCTACCGTCAGAATAGCCTTCCTCGGCATGACCGCGTCCTGCACCTGCACCCAATCACCCTCGGAATCAGCTCAGATTGGAGGGAGGGGTTCTAGGCTTCCTTGATGGGGTCGGAGTAGATGGGTCGGAGGATCGCGCCTCATCTGCGATGCATCGGCGATGTGGCTCGATGTGGAGCCCGATTTTCTCCACGCCGATGGCGCCGATGCCTCGCCGACGTCGCCGATGCATCGCCGATGCATCGCCGATGTATCGCCGATGCATCGCCCATGTGGCGCGATCCTCCGACCCCATCTACTCGGACCCCATCTAAGAGGCCCCTATGGAGCCCACTTCTCCGGCTCGTCTCCTTGAGCCTAAGGCCAGCTGAGACAGGTAAAAAAGGGGGGGGTAGGTCCTCCGTGCAATTTTGGTCGCAGGGTCGTCCTCGCCGTTCTGTCGCTGTCCCCCCCCAAGGGCGGCCGAGGGACCTGAGATCCCTCGCGCCAGGAGCCTTGATTTTATATGCGGTCCTTCGTCTGCCGAGTAAGGGTCGGCGCCGTTGCCCTCCTCAGCCAGATGCGCCCGGGCTCTGGCGAGGTCCCACCAGCGTGCATTACGGGCAGCGTCCTATAATTATCGCGTTGACGAGACAGTTGCCAGATGAGGAAAAGGCACCCATACCTCTACCCTCCACTCGTTTCCCCTTTTTGGGCCTCCGTCGTCGCCACCGCTAGATTCGCCCCGAAATCTTGGTCAGAACGCACCCCAGGAGAGGTCTGGGGAGTAGCGGTGTCGTTACCCTTTGGTGTCCCCATGTTGGCTGCGGAAGGTGCGGATCGTTGTCAAAGCGTTCGGGTCGGCCTCAGTTCTTTCCCGAGTGAGACGCCAGTCTCTCGCCAGACCATCCGCAGCGCAAGTGGCACGGGAATGATTCCGCTTCGGAGCGCCACCGCAGCGAGGGGAAGTCCCATTCACCACGCACCGTGAAGTTTTGTTCCCGTCTTGCCGCGCAGCGCTTGGCTGCTCTCCTACGTGGTGCTGACGATGTCAATGTTCTTGCTGTACCTCCAGTTCGGTTTCGTTCCGGAGTAGACTCTCCTGAATTTGTAGGTGCCCCCTTGCCTCCTGCAGGCAGTCCCGAAGAGAGTAACGTGTCGGGCTCCAACTGCAGCGGACGTGTCCTTTCCGCAGCGGGGCCTGCCTCGTGCCCCATTCTGAGTGGGCCATGCCATGGGCTGGGACTGAGCGAGATCGGCTTGCAAAGGGGGTGCATATGCTCGAGTATGTTGGGAGATGTCGTATCTTGCGTTGGAGCTGGCTGGGGGTTAGGTGGCCCAGCCCTGGTGCGGGCCAGCACAGAGAGGGGGGAGAGATGGGCTCCCTCGCCGCCAAGACTGGACGCGGCTCGAAGACCTTGTCAGTTTCGACCCCGCGGGGGGTTGGGGGACCGAGGCTCGCGCCCCCGAGGCTCTCCAGAACGCCGCCCGCGACCTCGACACCACCGTGCCGTACTTCGTCTCCGAGTCCGGCGTCAACAGGTACAAGTTCCAGTGCAAGCACTGCCACCGGAAGATGAAGCGTGCCGACGCCTTCTGTGACCCGTGCGTGCAAGCACCAGCACCCATCAGCTTCCAGGAGTTCCACCTGTTACTCTGGAAGCATGGCCTTCGACATCAGGAAGTGCAGACCGCCGAGGCCCTCAAGGCCAAGGTCGCACGCTGGAGGCCGCACTCTCTGAGGTGAAGGTGCCCGCAACGGTCATGCAGGCCCCGGGTTTGGTGGACCCACGCCTGCAGGGTCGGCGAGGCGGCCAATCCAGGCCCGCCTGCGCACCGAAGCCGTTGCGGGAACCACCGACACGCACCCACCACTACAGGCGACGACAGTCGCACACAGCAGCTCACCACTCCCACTCCAGCTTCCGACATCGGCCCGTCCCCCCACAGAGGGGCCCGCCAGGTGGCGGTCACGCTTTGGCACTCGAACGTGCAGGGGGCCCCGAACCAAGACGACCTCAGGAGTGCTCTACGACACGCGACCCGCATGGACGCCGACGTCGTAGTGCTCACAGAGACTCACTGGGACAAGACGCGTGCGAAGGAGCGCGTATCCGCGCGCAGCAAGTTCGGCCACGCCTTCGCAACGGCCTCTCACACGACCACTCCGAACACAGCGGGCGTGGCCATCTACGGTCCAGCAGGCATGCGTCGCGATCCATGGTGCTGGCCCACCTCCCTACGAGGCCGGGTAGCATCAGCAGTGCTTCGCGCAGGCTCAACGGACGTCTTGATCATCGGAGTGTACGGCCACTCCGGCACCAAGCGGGCATCGAAGGCCGGCAGGGCCGCTCTCGCAGATGCTCTCGCCGTGCGCGCTGCTGCCGCCGACCTACCAACAGTCATGATTGGGGATTGGAATGCCCCGCCAGACGACGACGACTATTCTTCTCGCGGACTTCACCATCGACCACCGAGTTGTGGGCCACCTGGATGCCCCCACGCATACCGGCGGAAGGTGCATCGATTATTCACGCAGCCGCAGTTTGACGACACTCGATGCCAAGCTCGGCCCACCTGTCTCGGACGAGCTTTCAGCCAAGAGTCCATCCGACCACGTCCAACACTGCACGGAGTTCGCCGTGGGCGCCGACGCCGACGTCACCTCCCTACGACGCCACCACCCGCTGGCACCTCCCGCCTCCAAAGCCTTGTGGTTGGAAGCATGGGAGCGCGCGGCCACCACCACGCGCCTCGCCGAGGCGGCGGCCGGGCACGACCCGAGCGCGTATTGGCAGGCTTGGTCGGACACCCTGGAGCTCAGCGCCGGTGTCCCCCAGCACAGCCTCACCAGGTCCGACGGCGACGACGTGCGGCGATGGACCAAGGTGTGGAAATCTGCCGCGGACCACGCCAACACCGAGGAGCACCGACAGCCAGTCGCAGAACGGCGACTCCGACGCGTCTACCGGCGCCTCCTGCAGTACGGCAACATCCAGGGCGAGGACGCGGCACTCAGCGCCTCCCTCGCCAGGAGCCTCGGCTCCCTGGTTTCCGACGGTAATCCCCACCCGGCCACTTACGACGACGCCGTCTGCAGCGTTCGACGGGCCATCCGGGCCTTCGAGGAGGAGGTCATCCAGTCCCGCTTGAACCAGTGGAGACACCAACAGCAGCATCATTCCATGACGTCTGCCTACGCCTACGTCCGCAACGCAGCCAACGCCCCCCCCGCGGCCGCAACCGATCCAACCTCGGGCCGGCTCTCCGGGGGATGCGCCGCCAGCATTGAGGCAGCCAAGCGCGCCTGGGACGCCAAGATGGCCGCTCCCCCAGACACCTCCAGCCTCGACCAGTATTTCGCCGAGGCCGCCAGATACGTGGCCCCAGTCCGACCGTGCGTGGAGTGCGGCGGAAAGCGGCACCTCGAGTGGGACAGGTTCACCGTTGCAGGCCTCAAGGCGGCAGCATGTGGTTGCCGGGGCACCGCAGCCGGGCCCACGGACTACGACGCCGATTTCCTGCTCTCCATGCCCACGCCTGCGTGGCAGCACCTGGCGGACCTCGCTGACATGATCATGGGCACGGGCATCTGGCCAGACGCGCTCCGCGCGCAGAACGTGACCTTCATTCCGAAGATCTCCTCGCAGGACCTGCGCCCGATCGCCGTCATCCCCGTCGTCACGCGCACCCTGTCGAGGTGCCTTGTTCAACATTACCGTTTCTGGACCACCAGGGTCCAATCTACAGACGCGGTCGGGCAGCTGCTCCGGTTCGAGGCCGCCGTCACCGCGCGCATAGCCGACAACCGCCCGACAGTTGCACGCACCAGTGACCTGGCCAGTCGCTTCAATCACATCGACCCGTCTTTGGCGGAGCGAGCGGCGGTTCTTCACGGCATGCCGGACACGCACGCTCATTTCCTCTTCTCCGTGAACGTGGACAAGCCCACAATTCTCCGTGGTGGAGAGTACGCCATGCGCGCCCCACCGCCAGACAGCGGTCTTGCACAGGGCGACCCGAACTCTCCGGTGGGAGCGGCTGTGGTCGCCGCCACGCACAAGGCAATCTTGAAGAGCACAGTCGACGGCCTGCAGTACTTCGACACGTACGTCGACGACAGGACGGCCCTGACCAACTCTTTGGAGGCAGACCGACATTATACCTTGGAGGTGGCACGTCTGGACCGCCTCACGGGACAACGCGAAGATCCCAAGAAGGGCTCTATGGCGGCGGTCTTCCTTACCAACGGCGCCGACCGCGCCGACAGCACCCTCCCCCTCCCCCTCCCCCTCACCAGCAGTCGCGCCGACAACCACATCGACACCGACATCGAGGTGGCGGCCCGCGCACCGAACGGAGGGCAGGGGAGCTCCAGGAACGATTCCGACGCATCGCCAGGATCGCCAACGCTGCCGGGCTCGGGGCCCGGAGGCGCATGGCCATGGTGAGAGCAACCATGTCCTTGTGGCGCTGGGACGCTCCGTGGGTCATGGCCGACGACACGGACCTGCACAGCATGCGCTACGACAGAGACAAGACCATCACCGGGAGACAAAGACATTGGGCATGGAGGCACGGCGGTGCTTTCTGGCTCACCACGGACAAAGGATGGCTCGTGGAGCCCTTCGCGGTGCAGTTCTCGGTTCTCATCTAGTGTCTCGTGGAGGCGGCGTGTAGCGAGGACACCGCGCGCACCATGGAGCGAGCCTGGACCCACCTGCACGAGCAGGAGCAGCACGGAGGTCGTGCGGACGGATCGTGGAGCTATCGCCTGGCTGCCCGGATCCTGCAAGTCGTCTCCCGTTTCTGGCAGCCCACAGACAGTCCATGGAAGTACCATTTCGACCATCAAATTTTCGATGTTCGACTCCTTCGCCAAGAACACCTGGACCACCACGTGCGACAGGCATGGCGGGCATGGATTTGGACACATTACCACCGACGGACGCTCCGCAAGGAGGCCGCCGGCCGCGCACCAGCGCCTTGCCACACGACCGTTTGCGAGTGGTTGAACGAGCACGCCGGGGCCGACCACGACCAGTTCGCTTTGGCACAGAGGTGCGTGATGGCAGCCGAGCCCAACGCAGTGCGCCTTTCGCATCTGCATCCAGATTGCTTCTCGCGCACCTGCCCCACCTGCCAGGTGGACAACAACACCCACCACATGATGCAATAATGTCCGACCACGGAGCCGCTTCGTCGAGCGCACGGGCTCCATTTACCTCTACCACTCCTGGCCGACTTCTTTCAGGCCGAACGGAGCGCTTTCATGCTGCATGGTTGGCACGACCAACACCGCCCTCAACTCTGCACTTTGGCGTACCGGGTGCTCAACTACAAACTGGCGGTCTTCCGGCCGTGGCACGCCGCGTGGCTTGCAGCCGCCGCGTCCGGCCGACAGCAGCAACAATAATTTGATTGCATCTTGTGCATCAGCGACAACAAGTGATTGCATGTTCTGCATCTTCTCAACAAGTATGCGCTTGTCGGCGCCTTCTTTCAACTATAGTGTTTTCCTTCTTTACTGCTTCGAGGACATCAGACATCCTGTTGCAGTCAGAGCCGGTGGGGACCGATTTTGATTGGATTTGCCGCAGGGGAGGGGATACACACAGACACAATCAATCGTCGAAGCCCCAGAAGATATAGGAACATATTGGAAGTGGTTGGGAAAACGAAAACTCAGAAAGTATATGAACACTTGAGAAATCCTAGGAGTTGTGTCTATTCATTTGTGTGTCCCCCGGCCCCTTATTACCGTCCATTCCCTCTCTTGACCGATCTTCTCTGGGCCCACCCAGCTCAGTTACTCCTGGCTGCCTCCAAGCCTTCCGTCTGCTGTGCCGCATCCTGGGACCTGTCGCTGCCGCGCTGTCTTTGCAACGTCCACCAAGGGGCGCGTGCCCGCACGACAGCGGAAAGGCTGAGGCCAGGACCGCGGCTGGCTCGGGAGGGTCTCCGGTGTTGTTTCCGCCGCTGCTCAGGCTCGCGGTCGGGCAAGCGGTTCCTGGCCGAGGTTCGCTGGGGCCAGAAACGCCCCGTTCGTTCCGCACTCGGCGCTCCTTGTTCGTTCATCGGCGGCGAGTGAGGGGGGGAGGTGACGAGGAGACGGCCTTCTCAGGAGGTTCGGAATTCCCCCGGCCTCCCGGGAAGTGTTCAAAGCCTTCCCCGACGACGGTGCACAAATTCTCAGAAGGCGCGAGGGTGTCTGAGAAGTCACGCCGCTTTCTGAGAACGCGTTCTCCTTCTTGTTTCCCCCCCTTGCTCGCCGCCGGATCAAGCACAATGCAACCCTTCACCCCGATCAAACATGGAATTCGTGGTCTAACTTAGGCCCTCGGTGTTAGGTCTATCCCTGTACACGTGGGTGGCCTCGTCCGTGGCTTCGGCAGGCACAGCAGACGTGCCCCCTGCCACTGCTGCCCTGGGCCCGCCCGACTCGGGCCCCCTCCCACGGGAGGAAGGGGCAGCCTTTGATGGGACTGATTTCCACCACCACTACCATATGTTGGAGAAGGAGGAGGAGGAGAAAGAAGAGGAGGAGGAGGACCTCTCCCTCCAACCTATGGTAGTGGTGGTGGAAACCAAGCCCATCAGCCTTCTTGCCGATCACCTCTGGCAGCAAGCACGACAACCGTGCCGCACCGCGATTGCCTCCCGTGGGTCGGGCGGCCGCCCCGCCGCGCTCCGAGCGCGGCGGGCGGCCGTGCCGCGCCGCGAGAGCCGCGGAGCGGCCTCGGGGTGCCGCGCGCTGGCGCAGCGCTCGGTGCCCTGAGGGTGCGGCGGTCGGCGGCGAGCCCGGTGGGGGGAAGCGAGGAGGAGAATCAGAGCGTGAATTACCTGCCCCGTTTTCGCTTCCAGGCAAAACCAAGTCATACCATACGCCTCCTCGTCAAGCGGCCTGACCAGTACATGCCGTAGTTTGGCATCGCTTGGTATCTCTTGGAAGCGAGGGTGGTCAAAAGCGAGGTAGGTTTGTTTGCCCCCTAGAGAAGGCCTTCTCGGAGGGCTCGGAAGTCCCCCAGCCTGTGATCGAAGGAGAAAACAATTCCACGCAAACATGTATATTTTCGGAGCTCCGCGCGGATCTCTCGGATCGGCGCCGGGGCCCCCTGGCGGCGCCTCTGGCGCCGCCCCCGGCGCGCTCCGCGCGCCAGGGAGGGGGGTCCAGCCCCGATTCGAGCAAGCCGTGCGGACCTCCAAGTTTTTATGTTTATGCCACTGTTCGCCTCCCTGCTCAGAAGGCTCGGAGGTCCCCCAGCCTCTGAGGAGTGTTCCGAGCGTTCCCCCGAAGGCTCAGAGAGACCCTTCAGGAGGTGCGAGGCCCCCTGAGAGAGAAGTCCGGCCGCCGTCGGAGAAGGCCCTCTCCTTCTCGCTGCCCCCCCTCGCCGCGCCGACGAGGCAGGTTCGCGCGGCGAGGGCGCGCGGGCGACGCCAGCGGAGGCGTTCGACCCCGGGCCCCCTCGCGCCGGGAGCGAAATTCGCCGTTGTCGGCCTCCCGGGGCCCTTACCTGGCCCCGGGACCGTCGACAAGAAGTCAGAGCCCCGAATCATCAGGGGTAACTCGGGTCAGGGATAACTCGGGTTCTTTTTCCGGGAATCCAAACCCGAGTTACCCCGGACCCGAGTTACCCCGGATAATTCGGGCGTCCAGAGCCCCGAATCATCAGGGATAACTCGGGTCAGGGCTAACTCGGGTTCCTTTTCCGGGAATCCAAACCCGAGTTACCCCGGACCCGAGTTACCCCGGATAACTCGGGCGCCCAAAGAAGACTCGGGGCGAAGAAACAGTTCCAGGTATGGGGTCCAGAGTTTGGGGGGTCGACATGGCAGATTCATGGCGTCGGGGGTCCGGGAAGGCTGGAATCCTTGGCATCGCTCAGACGTGTGCATCTTTTCTCGGCGAGAACCATCGAGGACCATCCTGGACCGTCGAGCAAAACAAACACGCACGAAACCTACAAGTGCACGGGAAATGGACGTCCCAGCGACGGCAAGAATCCACATGATGGGACGACGCGGAAGCACCGAGGGGCAAGGAAGCGCCACAGGACAGCGTAATTCAATGTTGCACGAGCGGGGTCGCGATCGGTTCAAGGTTGAACCATCGGTGCCAAGGGCTCCCTCGAGGGCGCGAAGTTATTCGCGCTTCGCGCTTCGCGGTCCTCGTTCCTTCTCCCCCTCCTCCTCGTCCTCCTATTCTCCCTTTGGGGGGGCGGCGCGAGAGCGCGAAGTTATTCGCGCTTCGCGCTTCGCGGAGCGCGAAGCGCGAAGTTGGGAGCCCTTGGTAATTCAATGTTGCACGAGCGGGGTCGCGATCGGTTCAAGGTTGAACCATCGGTGCGGTGTCAAAAACCGTTGCGCGTGCCGACGCCGCGCGAGCCTACCGTAGGCACGTAGGGTCAGATGCCACTCTTGGGAGGTTCGCATTGGCATCGGCGCGGATATATCCCAGGAGAGGAAAAAACACACAGACACAATTAATCTTCGATTCCCCAGAAATATGGGAAAATATGGGAAGTGGGGGGGAAGACAGAAACCTCTCCTTCTCGCTGCCCTCCCTCGCTCGCCGACGAGGCAGGTTCGCGCGGCGATGGCGCGCTGGCGACGCCAGCGAAGTGCGTTCCACCCCGGGCCCCCTCGCGCCGGGAGCGAGAGCACGTCGGGAGGTGCTTCGCCGTGGTCGGCCTCCCGGGGCCCTTACCTGGCCCCGGGGCCGTCGACAAGAGGACTCGGGGCGAAGAAACATCGGGGGCGGAAAAGAGGGGGGTGATGACTAGGGGGGGGTGGATGTCATGGCGTGGGCCATGATATTTCCCCTGATTTCATGGCGCCTCTTCTTATTTCATCACGTTCCTGGCCCCCCCCGCTGGGCCGCGCACATGCCGCCGGGCATGATTTGCACCCCCCCCTCTTGGACACCCCCCTTTTGGCCGCTCCCGAAAACAGTTCCAGGGATGGGGTCCAGAGTTTGGGGGGTCGACGTGGCAAAATCATGACGTCGGGGGTCTGGGAAGGTCGGAATCCTTGGCGTCGCTCAGACGTGTGCATTTTTTCTCGGCGAGAACCATCGAGGACCATCCTGGACCGTCGAGCAAAACAAACACGCACGAAACCTACAATTGCACGGGAAATGGACGTCCCAGCGACGGCAAGAATCCACATGATGGGACGACGCGGAAGCACCGAGGGGCAAGGAAGCGCCACAGGACAGCGTGATTCAGTGTTGCAGAGGAGGAGGAGGAGGAGGAGGAGGAGGAGGAGGAGGAGGAGGAGGAGGGGGAGGGGAGGAGGAGGAGGAGGAGGAGGAGGGAGGAGGAGGAGGAGGAGGAGGAGGAGGAGGAGGAGGAGGAGGAGGAGGAGGAGGAGGAGGAGCGTAATTCAGTGTTGCACGAGCGGGGTCGCGATCGGTTCAAGGTTGAGCCATCGGTGCGGTGTCAAAATCCGTTGCGCGTGCCCACGCCGCGCGAACCTACCGTAGGCACGTAGGGTCCGATGCCACTCTTGGGAGGTTCGCATTAGCCTCGGCGCTGATATTAGCATCGGCGCTGATATATCCGTGGTCGCAAAGCTGCACGATCCCGCGTAACCAGGCCCAGGCCCGCTTGATCCCGCCCAGTTCCGGTCAATCTTGGGCCCAGTCCAGGCAGGCTGATTCGGCTTGTTGGCGCCTTCGTCGGGAGCCCTTAGTCTGTCGGAGGTTGATAGACCTCCTATCCTGACACGTCGATTAAGGAATGGGCCGTTTTCGGTTTGCGAGAGGGCGTCGCGGCCGTCATTTTTGAGGGTCCAGGTCCGTCGGTTTCGGTCCCAGGCCGTTTTCACTGAGGGGAGGTTTGCTAAAGGGAGGTTTTTGTCCAGTCTGTATTGCGAGGACTTCTCAGGAGTGGCTCGGATGCGGTGCGCAGTCGCTGTGGGGAGCCAAGAGCGGCCAGGCGCCAGGGGTACCAGCCTGAGGCGCGGTGGCCCACACGGCGAGATCGAGGGAGGTCAACCTCCTCCTCTTCCTCCTCCTCCTCCTCCTCCTCCTCCTCCTCCTCCTCCTCCTCCCTCCTCCGCCGTCCGCCCCTCCCTCCTGTATTACTCTCTCGTCGGCGGTGCACCTGTGGGGGGAGGGAGAGGGGGCGGGCCTCGGGAGGCGGCGGGGCTCCAGAGAACGCTGCGAAGGCCTCACGGAAGGCCGAGTGCTTTCCGAGGGCTCTGCGAAGGCCCGCCCCCTCCGGGATCCGTTTCCGTGTCCACCCGATGGACCCGATCCGATGTCGGCTTTGGCCAGCCTGGCTCGATCCGGTTCCGATGCTCGAGCGGTCCAGTGCGGCCCGATGCTGGCATGGCGCCGTCATGCATCCTGACGCCGCCGACTCGATCCGATTCCGACTCCGAACCGATGCTGTCCGATTCGATCGTTCCGTCCGTTCCGTTGTCCGATTCGTTGCTATTTCATCTTGTCATCTGCTTTCCCCCCTGGACGCGCCTGAGCGACGAAAGAAAACGGATTCGTCTTCACCGACATTGGCGCGTAAGTTGCCCTCGTTTCCAGTGTGGCGTGCCGCGCTGGCGGTCCGCGTAAGGTCTCTACATCACCCTGCGTACGACCCGTTTATTTTCGTCGCTCATCTGCCTTCTCCCCTGGAAGCGCCGCCGAGCTTCCCCCCTCTGTGCCTCTCCTCCTCCGCCTCTCCTGCGTGTGCCCCGTGTGTTATCCGCCTGCAGGGCAGGTATCAGCAGACCACCATCCAGGCCAACCTGACCCCCCAGCCGTTGTTGTGATGCTCGTGCTGCGAGCAGGTACACAGTCAAAGTGCACCGTGAGGACGAGCAACTCTCCAAGGTTACCTTTGCATGCGGCAATTTCCTCGGGCCTATCTTCGGCAATTTCCGCTGGCCAGCCCCATTCGACCCCTCCTCCCTGTGCCGCTACTCTCCCCGCCCTTCCTCTCTCGAAGTTGTCTTGGGCTCGATCATCCCACCCCGCCTCGGGCGGCCGCCCAGCGATCTCGTCCACCCCGGCACTCGAGGAAAAAGAATCTGCATTCACATGTCTAGGCCTCTTGGATGGGGTCCGAGTAGATGTCTTCGGAGAATCGCGCCGTATCGTCGATGCATCGGCGATGCGGCTCGATGTGGAGCCCGACTTTCTCCACGCTGGCGTCGCCGATGCATCGGCGATGCATCGCCGATGCATCGGCGATGTATCGTCGATGTATCGGCGATGCGGCGCGACCCTCCGACCCTATCTACTCCGACCCCATCTAGGAGGCCTCTAATATACTCTAGAATCGGCGCTTTGGCCCCGCTGGCAGCGCCTCCGGCGCCGCCTTTGGGACGCTCCGCGCGCCAGTGAGGGGAGCCCAGCGCAGATCCAAGAAATCCGCGCTGACTTCCAAGAGTTTATGTTTATGCAGTTTGTTGTTCTTCTGGACACCCCGACGCGTCGCGTCGGGCGGCATGAAGCCGCAGCGGCCGGCATCGGGCGGCGCGGGCGATTCCATCCTCGACCAGGTGGCCAACCGCCCGAAGTTCTGTGAGCGCCGAGAGCTGGCGTTCGCGCGCCCGGAGCGGGCCAGGGACAAGCTGCTGAGCTACTCGACCCTGAAGGTGAAGGTCGTGAAGGCCAGGAGCCTGGTGGAGGCGGACATTGTGTCGTCTGACCCATACGCGGAGGTCGTTCGGGCAAGCAGATCTACAGTCGGCCCAGATTAGTAGGTCGACACTGCCAGCTCAAGGGTACCCGTGTGTCCTGTGCCTCGCGACACGTGCCTTCTTTACTCCAATGGCGATGTGGCCCTCGGAAGGGTCTTGTGTCCTCTCGCGTGTCCTGTCCGATCGAGTTCGACTGTACACACATACACACACACACGCACGCACGCACGCACGCACGCACGCACACACACACACACACACGAACGCACACGAACGCACACGAACGCACACGAACGCACACGAACGCACACGCACACACGCACGCACGCACGCACGCACGCACGCACGCACGCACGCACGCACGCACGCACGCACGCACGCACGCACGCACGCACGCACGCACGCACGCACGCACGCACACACACACACACACACACACACACACACACACACACACACACACACACACACACACACACGCGCCGGCTCTGGCCTTGCCCAGGGGCCATGGTCGATGCAGAGGCCTCCCGGGCCAGGCCAGGAGGCCGCACATACGTCGATCAGGGGCCCAGCAGGGGCCTCGCCAGGGGTCAGCGTCTGCGTGCCTCGAGGACCACCCTTCGGGCGAGAAGTAAGTTTTTTTTTCTGGGGGGGAGGAGGGGAGGGGCGCGATTGGCGTCGGATCGGATTCTCGGTGCATGCGTATATCTAGTGGCCCTGGTATCGCTCGGACGTGTGCATGTTTTTTCTCGGCGAGGACCATCGAGGAGCATCCTTGATCATCCGGCGAAAAAGCCCCGCACGAAGCCGAACAAGAGCACAGGGAATGGACGCCCGAGCGATGGCCAGGTCTTGGAGGCCTCTCGTCGGCCTCCCGGGGAGCACCTTGGGGCCTGCTTGGGGCCTCTCTGGGAGGCCTCCTGGAGCTTGTGGGAGGCCGCTCGGGGGCCTGCGCTGGCGGTTTCGACGGCCATCTCGGGCGACGGGCTCGAAGTGTTTGCTCGCAGGCGATTTCTCTCCCCCAATCCCCGACTTCCGCCAGAAAAGTTTGGTCGCTCAGAAAAGGGGAGGAATCTTGGGATACACCCCGAGGGGGCTATTCGGACGCACCCCTGTCGAGGATGGACGCCCCCCCCTCGTATATCCCAGGGTTGGGCCCCAAATTGTTGATCCTCTCGAAAACCTCACGGAGCCTGGGATAGGGGTCGACGCATCCCCTGTTATTTGTTCGTGTTCCCCCTCGGGGGGGCCTCCCTCGGGCCCCGCTTGGAGCTCTATTGGGCCGTCTGGGGGTGCTGTTTGGGGCCTGTTGGTTCGTCTTTGGGGCAATCTTGGGAGTCCTGGAGCGTCGAAGATCGTAGGAGTCGAGAGCGCCAAAATCCTTCAAAAACATGATGTTGGCATCTCGGGGCCCTCTTTGGGGCCCCCTCGGAGCCGTCCTGGTGCGTCGTGGGGGCCCCCTGGGCCATCTTGGAGCCATCTTGGGCGTCTCGGGACACTGTCGGGCAGTCTTGGATGCCTCTTGGGTATTTTGGGGGACCCTCTTGGCCCGTCATAGGGGCCCCCAGAGCTTTGGACAAGTCACGCCAGACGTCCGGCGCAGGTTCGTTTCGCCGCGCCCGCACGTGCGTCACGCACGAAACGAAACGATTTCCTGGTTGGGGCGTCTCACGTTTCACTTCGGTCTCAGCCCCTTCGAGCCTCCAACGGTTGGCGTCCTCATAAGGTCTACGTAGACGACGTCCTGAAGGGCCACACGCCCACTGTATTCAAGAGCCTGAACCCCGTGTGGAATTGGGAGAAGACCCTCGAGATCAAGCACCCGGCGTCAGTGGTGCTCGTTCGGGTGATGGACTACGACCTCTCGAATCCTGACGACATGCTTGGATTCGTGGAGTTCCCTGTCGCGGACCTGCCTCTCGAAACCTGCACCGCTGGCTGGTTCCGCCTGCACCCGGCCGAGAAGCTGGTCGGCAAGGCATCCCAGCGCCTGGAGAAGATCTCGGAGCCCCTCGAGGAGACCTGCGGAGCCGTATTCCTTGAGCTGACCCGCAAGATCGAGTCGGGAGACGCCACTGACGAACAGTATGCCTGGTGCCTGCCAGATCCGGAGCCCATCGATTGGCCCGAGTATACCGGAGCCAGGAAGAAGCTGGACGCCCAAGCTCTGATCGACAGCATCATGGACTTCAAGACCGCCCTGCTCGGGGGCCTCATCCGCCCGCTCATGACGGGGGTTGGATACATCTTGGGGTGGCGCAATATCCCGATGACATCGTGCGTGCTCGCCATCTGTCTCGGCGTGTCGTACCGGCCAGAGCTGTTCATCAGCGGCATGCTCCTCATGGCTGGCCTGCTGCTGCTCATGACGTCGGACCCCTCCGTGTGCTCGGCCATGTCGTTGTTGCCCGCCGCAGTCCCTCTCGACGACGCTGGCTACGCGCTCATTGCCCAGACGAAGGACACCGACGCCGCGGTGGCCTTCCTCCAGCGCGTGGTCTTCGCCCTGCAGGGCACCGTCGCCGACGACGACAAGCTCCGGGAGTTTGCCGCCTTCTCGTCGCACGAGGGGGAGGCGGTCGCCGAGAGCTACGCCGACCTCAAGCGGCAGCTCCACAAGGCGAAGGCCAACAAGGAGAGCCGGTGCCCGATCATCAAGACCGACGACAAGCCCCTGAAGAAGGGCGCGCTCGTGCACAGGAGCTCGAGGACGAGAAAGCTCCATGCACACAAACTCTGGGAGTTCCGCGCAGGTTCCTCGGATCGGCGCTGGACCCCCCTCTCAGTAGCGCTCGGAGTGCGCCAGGGGCGGCGCCGGATGCGTCGCGAGAGGGGGCTCGGCGCCGATCCAAGAAGTCCGCGCGGAGCTCGGAGCGATGACGTTTACGCCATTATCAAGGGCTCCCTCGAGGGCGCGAAGTTATTCGCGCTTCGCGCTTCGCGGTCCTCGTTCCTTCTCCCCCTCCTCCTCGTCCTCCTATTCTCCCTTTGGGAGGGCGGCGCGAGAGCGCGAAGTTATTCGCGCTTCGCGCTTCGCGAAGCGCGAAGCGCGAAGTTGGGAGCCCTAGTTATCTGTTCCTCTAGAAGCGGCCAGAAGGGCGAGGTCGTGAGCTGCAAAAACCCCGACGAGGTCCTCACGTGGGAGTACGAGGTGCAGTTCGACGGCGCTGACGCGCCAGAGGTGGTCAGAGCCGACCGGCTCGACTCGCGCACGGACATGCGCTGGATGTCGGGGGACGCCATGCTGGCCATCATCCCAGACTCGGTGGAGGACTCGCTGATAGGCTGGACGGCCTTCTTCCGAAGCTTGACCACCACGCTCGAGGGGGCCGAGAAGCCCATCCGCGACATCGCTGGCTGGAAGGACAAGACGAAGACCCTGACGGTGGCCGTGGCCTGCCTGGTGCTCTCGGTGCTCTTCCTCTGGATCCAGCGGCTGTTCTGCTTCGCGGTGGCGGTCTATCTGTTCGCCAAGAACACCGAGGCGTGGATCTCGTTCTTCGCGAAGCGGCGGGGCCAGGCGGCGCTCGAGAAGCAGAAGGGCGCGAGGGACGTCTCCGAGTGGGGCTTCTTCACGAGGGCGAGCGCGGACGACGACAAGGCGGGCTCGAAGGCGCCGCTCCTGCAGTCATTCATGGACAGCGCCAGGAGCACCTTCGGGATGGGCAAGGCCTGACGCCCGGCGGCGGGCCTCGCGGTGCCGGCCCGTGGTGGATCGCTCCGCTCCTCGGAGCCTGTCTGGGCCTCCCAGCTGGGGTCGGAGTACAGTGCCGTTTTTGATACATGTTCCGCGTGCGGATCACGTATTAGAAATGCAGGGTTTAGTATTAAAAACAACGATGAGTTCGTGCATACATGTATCCACACATTGATCATGTATTAAACATCCTATGTTTTTTCATTTTTTATTTTTGTTCCCCAATCCCATGTATTAAAAATTGCCCTGTAGAGAGAGTGGATTTTAAGTCGGGCCCGCACCTCTACAGGAGGAGCACAAGAAATAGTCCAAAACTCGTCCGGGGAGTTCTGTGTTGATCACGTTTCACCACCCACCAAACCACCCCAACCCAACCCGAAGGCCTCAAATTGACCTCCATTTCCAGTGGGGGGGGGGTCGGGGAACATCGAGAACACACATACGGAACCCGCACCCCCCCCAACCCGAAGTTCGGGTCTTCGGGTTGGGTTGGGGTGGTCTGGTAGGTAGTCAATGTTTGTTTCGTGTCGGAGACTTCCTAACTTTTGTTCTCGAAGGTCCCCCCCTGTCGGGGCGCACGCCCGACTCGGAGGCAGCTTCGGCCGCATGGTCGCGCCGCATCCGCGATGCCTCGGCGGTGCGGCTCGATTCAGGAGGGAAAGAAACCCACAGACACAATTGATCGTCGACTCCCAGGAGAATATGGGAAAATATGGGAAGTGGGGGGGAAGACAGAAACCCAGAAAATATGGGAAAATATGGGGAATTATTATTTTATTTGTGTGTATTTATTTGTGTGTCCCAGTTTCCCTTCATCGATGTGGAGCCCGACTTTCTCCACGGCGGCGTCGCCGATGCACCGCCGACGTCGCCGAGGCATCGACGATGCATCGCCGATGTGTCGGCGATGCGGCGCGATCCTCCGACCCCATCTACTCGGACCCCATCCAGGAGGCCTCTAAGTGAATCGTCGATTCCCCAGAACACATGGGAAAATATAGGAAGTGGGGGGGGAGACAAACACCCAGAAAACATGAGGAAATATGGGGAATCCTGTTATTTGGGTGTATTCATTTGTGTGTCCCAGGGCCCTTTCAGGAGAGAGTCCACGAATTGTTTCCCTCCACCGTACCTGCGCCTGCCTGCGCGCAGCGCCCCTACGCCAAGCCTGTGTATAGCGTCAGCTCCACGTTTCAAGTCTCAAGGCTCCGCGGGACGGCCTCCAGCCGCAGCTCGGCTTTACGGTATAGGTTTCTGCGGCGCTGGTGCGCCAGCGACGCCGGCGAAGGCGTTCAAGGACGAACTCTGCTGGCAGGGGGCACCGATAGGGGGGGATGGGCCTAGGGGGGGGGCGCATCGACCCCCACTCGCCCATGGATCGCCGATACGGGCCCGATGGCCCCACCCCGCCCAGGAAGATGCAGATTCACTGTCGGGGGCCTATGGCCGATCTGTCGACGATGTATCGCCGATTGCAGGTCGATGCATCCCCCCTGTGCTTAAGTCGGGCCTGTCCCTCTACAGGGGGACTATTCAAACATAGTAAGAACAAAAAAAGTCCGGGGACCATTTTGTGAGGATCTTTGGGCTTTTTTTTTGAGGATGTGCTCAGTTTGTTATATCAAACTTCGTCCAACATGCCCCTGTAGGGGGGACACGCCCGACTTACCCAGGGGGCCACATGCGAACCCTACCCCTACCCCCCTCAGAAGTCGTGGGGGGCAGGGGTAGGGTTCGCATGTGGCCCCCCACTAACCCCTATTAACAAACAGCCCATTGACAACAGAGTATTCGTTCAGCTTTTATTGAATCGCTTCGCTCATTCCGCCGGCCCATTTCGCATGACTGAGCCTCTTGGGGCCGCGGGGGGGCCTCTTCAGCGTCGCTTGGGGGCCTCCCGAGGGCCTCTTGGGGGCTTTGGGGGCCTCTCATGGGGCCTCTGGAGGCCTCCTGGGGGCTCTCTTCAGGCCGAGGCCTCGAAGTTTTGTGTTGTGTTCCCCCCTTGGGGCATCGCTTGGGGCCCTCTGGGGCCCCTCTTGGGCCGTCTTGGATGCCTCTGGGGCCGTCTTGGAGCCCTCTCGGGCCATTTTGGGGCCTCCTTGGGAGCTTCTTGGGCCCTCTTGGGGCGATCTTGGGGGCCTCTTGGGCCGTTTTGGGGCGTCGGGGAGCCGACAAGATGGACACGCCAACATCTGCCCAACACCTAAAATAAAGTAATGAGTTTTGCCTCTTGGGGCCCTCTGGGGAGTGCTCTTGGAGGCCTCTTGGGGCGTCTGGGGGCCATCTTGGGCGTCTTGGAACGATCGTGTGGCATCTCGGAGCACTCTTGAACCATCTTGGAGGGCTCTTGGCGGCCTCGTGGCCCTTCTTGGGGCTCTCTGGAGGACCACGGGGGCGGCGCCCAGGAGGAAAACCATCTCTGACCCGAGTCTGCCGGGGATCGCCCAGGGTACTTTTCGTCCGGGGGCCGCCCCGCGCGCGCGAAGTAGAAGTATGATTTAGCAGTTACCGGAGATCTTAGCACGCCTCTGGTTCGTTGGGCCGGCGAATAACACATTTCGTCCAACATCCCCTGTAGGGGGACACGCCCGACTTCACCCTGTGCCTCTCTCCCCCCCCCTGGCATCGCTCGGATGTGTGCATGCTTCCTTCGGCGAGGACCATCGAGGAGCATCCTTGATCAGTTGGTCAAAAAGCCACACACACACACACAAAACCGACAAAAAACCCAGGGAATGGACGTCCGAGCGATGGCGTGCCCACCCCCCCATCGCTGCCCCTCGTGGCTGCCGTGGCCGAGCGCCGCCGCCCCATTCCTGGCGCCCTGCTGCCCGCCCGCGCGCGTCGCCTGCCCGCGAGCGCGGCGGCGGGCCCAGCGGGCGTCGCCCCGCCGACGCCGACGCCACGAGCAGGGCTCGTTTCGATTCCTCCGATTCGCTTCGATTCGATTTCGATGGATTCCGATTGCGATTCGATTCGACTTTGGATTATGATTTGGGCTCCGACTTCTCAGTGGAGGCCTACTGGCCTGCCGATGTCTGCCGATTCGACTTCTTCGGACTCGGCTGCCGATTCCTGCCGATCCGACTCCTTTCGATCGCCGATCCGATTTGTCGATTCGATTCTGGGCTCTCCTGCACGAGCTCTAAGTCGGGCCTGTCCCCCTACAGGAGGTTGTTCGACGAACAATAAAAAATACCGCAATAGTCCCCAGACTATTTTTGGACATGTTGTTGATTATGTTTGGGGTATTCCTTATTTTTCTTGCAAATGCCCCCTGTAGGGGGACAGGCCCGACTTAACACGAGCTCTGGCTCCGCGGCTTGCCTAAGAGAAGTCGGGCCGGACGAAAGGGGGGGCACTGGGAGAGGGGGGGGAACGAAATCTGCTGCGTGCAGCTGGTTTCGGCCTCGATGCATGGCCGCCTCCCAGCGCTGGGAGAATCAGCTACGTGAGCCGATGCTCACCCCCCCCCCCCTTTGCTATCCCCCCCTTTCGCCCGACCCGAAAAAGGTTCGAGGATCGAGGTTCGATCGGCGTCCCCCCAACATACTTCTACAATGTGTTCGTCGCCCCCCCCCCAGGGGCGACGCGCGCACCGAGAAATCTTTATAGTCTGAGCGTTGTGGCGGGCGCTTTCTGGCCACACCGCTCGAGAAACGATGCACTACAAGATGGGTGCAGTACATGTTCGGGCCGCACGCGCGCCTCCAAGGCGGACATCTAGTCTTGGCAGGTATGTCTCTGTTTTGTCCCATTCGAGGGCGAAGGGGCAGAGGATCGAGGATCGAGGCTCGAGGATCGAGGCTCGAGGCTCGAGGCTCGAGGTTCGAGGATCGAGGTCCGAGGATCGAGGATTGAGGCTCGAGGATCGAGGCTCGAGGCTCGAGGATCGAGGTTCGAGGTCCGAGGATCGAGGCTCGAGGCTCGAGGTTCGAGGATCGAGGATCGAGGCTCGAGGCTCGAGGCTCGAGGGGGGGGGGGGCCCTCGAGGGGCCGGCCCTCGCCCCCCCCTCCCACTTGGCCCCTGCCGCTGCCCCTCGGCGCGCGAGACCGCTCGGCCGCCGCGCGGCGGCTGCCCATTCTTCGGCCCACTCATTCCAAGCAGTGGCGAAGCGTCCCAGCTCGCCTACAGCCCCACCAAACAATGTTCTAAGAATCGGGGGCGGAAAAGAGGGGGGTGATGACTAGGGGGGGGTGGATATCATGGCGCGGGCCATGATTTTTCCCCAGATCTCAGGGCGCCTCTTCTTGTTCCATTACGTCCCCGGCTCCCCCGCTGGGCCGCGCACATGCCGCTGGTCATGATTCGTCCCCCCCCCCTCTTTGACGCCCCCCTCTTTGCCGCTCCCGAACAATGTTCTAAGAACTTCTTGTGGTTCCCACGAGATGTTCTGGGAGCATTTCTGGTGGGGCCTGTCTTGTTTTTTGACACATCGGGTTTATGGTATAGCAGCATTGTGTTTGTGTTCTCAGAGCGTTTTTGGGTTCTAAGAAATTTTCGTGGTAGGACCATAGGAATGCCGGGACGGTCGGTCCCTGCTCAATCATTCAGCTCGGAGGAGGAAGATCAGAGGAGGAGAAGGTACCCATACCTCTACCCTCCCCTCGTTTTCCCCTTTGGGGGCCTCCTGGGCCTCCCTCGTCGCCACCGCTGGATTCGGCTCAAAATCCTGGTCAGAACACACCCCAGAAGAGGTCCGGGGAGTAGCGGTATCGGTGCCCTTTGGTGTCCCCAGAAGATGGGGGGCCACATGCGAACCCCACCCCTACCCCTCACGATTTCCGAGGGGGAGGGGGTGGGGTTCACCTCGTTCGGGCGCTCCCGAGCGGAGTGAGCCCCCCCCCCCCCTCAATCGTGGGGGGTAGGTAGGGGTAGGGTTCGCATGCGGCCCCCCAGAAGAGGTACCAGTACCGCTACCCTTCCTCGTTTTTTCTCCCTTTGGGGGGCTTCCTGGGTGGCCCTCGCGACGCCACCGCCGCATTCGCTTCGGAGCTCTCGTCAGAGAGCACCCCGATGGAGCGGTCCGGGGAGCAGCGGTATCGGTACCCTTTTGGTTTCCCCAGGAGTTGCCCGTCCAGCTGCCCGTTCGGCCGCCCGTTCGGCTGCACGTGGCACGTGGGGGCACCCGTGCGGCCCGAACAGGCTCGAGTCCAAGATCCTGGTGGGAGCCTCGCCCATTCGGCGGCCGAATGGGCTCGAAGTCCCTGCGGCGGCCGAACGGGCTCGGGCACCGCAGGGGCTGCGCACCGAGCCTCGTGGTGCTGGGTTTTCGCCCGCCCAGGTGGGCCGTCGGGGGCCTGTCGGCGGTGTTCGCCTTCGCCTGCGCGACGTGCCTGGTGGAGGCCCGACGGCCTCATCCGGCCCTCAGGTCAGGGGAGGACCATGTCGGAGGGACGCCACCAACCATCACCGAGCGCGTTCCACGCCTACTCGCAAACGTCAGAGAGAAGCCTGTCTTCCTCGATGTAAGTTATCGTAGATGCCGCACGGTGGGTGGATCAGGGCCATTCGCGAGCAGTTCCTTTGCGAGTCGTGGAACGTGCTCGTCCAAACCAGCCCTGGCCAGAGCTGGTGGTGATGTATTGTTTGGAGCTGTCCTTGGATATCCCAACACCGCTACTCCAAATCTCATGATGAGGGGGGGGATCACAAACCTCCCAGACGAGCATGTTTCGACCCCCCCCCGCCCGCCGTGAAAGGGCGGCCCTTCGCCCTGACCTCCCGGAACCCTGCAAGGCAGATCAAATCCCCCCTCCCAAATTAGACCTCTTTTTTTATGATGAAATCCTGAGTACAGTGCCGTTTTTAATAGATGCTCCGCGTGCGGATCATGTATTAAAAATGCAGGGATTTAGTACTAAAAACAACGATCAGTTCATGCATACATTCGTCATGTATTACAAATGCCATATGATTTAAAAATCCTATGTATGAAAAACTGCCCTGTAACTACCCTTGTCTCGTTTTCGCCGTCTGGGGCCTCCTGGGAGGCAGGCGCCCTCGTCGCATTGGCTGGGATCGCCTCGGAAGTCTGGTCAGGTCAGGCGACGTCCGGGTAGTGGCAGTATGAGCATCTGCTGTTCTCCCCATCTGGCGCCTGCAGAGGACCCTGAGATGGTGGTGCACACTGTTCTTGACGTGTCTCCGTCTTGCGTCGAGCCCCAGGGCCCTCACAGATTGAGGCGGATCGAACCATGATGCAGAAAGACGGGGCTTGAAGCTCCGACCGCGGTTTGTCGCGATGGTGGCTGTTTTTTCGGATGCAACTACTGGGAGGTCAAATTCTGATTTAATTAGCCCTGGTCCGAAATCCAGCTTAATCCCGCTCAATCCGGCTTAATCCCGTTCAATCCGGCTTAATCCGGCTTAATCCCGCGTGATCCAAGGCCCATTTTGGCGTAACAGCCCCCCAAGGGGGCTTAATCCTCCTTAATCTGTCCGACGAAAACGACCCAGTAGTTGCCTGCTAATGTCTTGTTGCAATGTTAAGAGTCAGGGGAGGAGACGGTGACCAGGCGCCCAGGTGCCCAGACCCCTTCTCGCGTCCTGTGGAGCAAACGATGACGGTTTGTTTTGTTGGTGTGCTTTCGGCCTGCTTGGTACAGTCGGCCCAGACTAGTAGGTCGACCCTGCCAAATTAAGGGTGCCCTTGCGTCTTGAGTCTCGCGACCCATGCTTCCTACATTCCTTTGGCAAGGTGGCCCTCGGAAGGGCCTTGTGTCCTCTCGCGTGTCCTGTCCAATCGATCTCGACTGTATCGCTCGGACGTGTGCCTTTTTTCTCGGCGGGGATTCTTAAGGAGCATCCTGGATCATCCTGCGAAGAAGCCACGCACGAAGCCGCAAAAAAGAACACAGCGAATGGACGTCCGAGCGATGGCAGGCCTGCCGGGTCCCTGATCGGGCCCCGTGACCGTCAGGAGCCGACGCAGGACGAGCAGCCGGCCCCCCGGGAAGGGGTTGAAAAAGTTCTGGGGGCCCCGTATCGGAGAAGCCAAGACGTCGGATCTCCGTGCCCCCACGCTTTCCGGATGCAACTCCTGGGAGGTCGAGTTCTGATTGTGACCTGGCCCGAAATCTGGCCTAATCCCGTTTAGTCCGGCTTAATCCCGTCTACTCCGGCTCAATCCCGCTGGATCCGAGGCCCACTCCGGCGTAACAGCTCCCACATGGGGCTCACTCCCCCTTTAATTTTTCGACGAGGACCTCCCAGTAGTTGCCGCCTAAACGCTTATTTCGGGACCTCGCAAAGGGGGGGAGGGGCACAATGGGGGGGTGAATTCGGTCCGTTGGCGCAGCGAACCGCAGAACAGCGATGCAAAACGAGGTCTCCGGCCGCCGCCGGAACCCGGGAGGTGTCGACCCTCGGGGCGCGCGGGTGGCATCGCTGTTCGGAACTTCGATGCGCCGGCGGATCGAACTCCCCCCCCCCTCAGGGTCCCCCCCTTTGGCTATTGAGGAACTCGGAGCACCAGGGCCCCGTCCACGAGCGGGGATTGGCGAAGCAGGCCCTCTGGCAAGCCCTATGTCAAGAGGGAAGAAACACACAGACACAATTGATCTTCGATTCCCCCAAAACTATTGGAAAATATGGGAAGTGGGGGGGGAGGCAAAAACCCAGAAAATATGCGAAAGCATTGGGAACATGTTTATTTGTGTGTATTTATTAGTGTGTCCTGGGGCCCCTTCACTCTGGCATGCCGAGGGAACTGCAGCCGCGGGCCGGAGCCGTCTCCATGCCTTCCTGCTCCCCGGCCTGAGAGGGCCCCGGTCTGCAGGGCCCTGGCTTACAGGGCCCTGCAGATGTTGATGCCTTGGCATCGCTCGGGCGTGTGCAGTTTTTTTCGGCGAGAACCATCGAGGACCATCCTGGACCGATCGAGCAACAAAAAAGAACACACGAAACCGAACAATGCACGGGAAATGGACGTCCGAGCGACGGCAAGATGCCGCCACCCGTTCTTCGTCGCCACTGCGGGGTTCGCCTGGCAATGCTGTGCTGTTGAGAAGGCACCCCGGGATGCCCGGGGAGGAGCGGGACGGCATCTCGCTCCGTTCCCCACCAGAGCCCTTGCCGCCCCTCCACCAGGCTCCTCTGACCTCCAAAGAGGTCTGGCTCGGTTCGGTTTGTCCTGGGAGGGTTCGGTGGAGTTCAGGCCCGTCCGCGGGCCCGCCGAGGTCTCGAGAGGGCCTGTTCCCCCCGGGGAAGAGCTGGTCGATCTCCGACCGGGCGCGGGCGCTCTCGACTAGATTTAAGTCAGGCTTGTCCCTCTACAGGGGGGATATCCAAAAATAATCAAAACGTAGTCAGGGGACGATTTTTGTTTTAATGCAAGTTTGCCCATTTGGGAGTATTTTTTGTGAGTACGTTTTACTTTTCGACCAAAATCCGCCTGTAGGGTGACACGCCCGACCTAAGACTATATGCCGTCATTCATGATCGGCGGTCAGCGAGGGGGGAAGTGAGAAGGTCGCCACATCATCTCTCGTAAGACTCGCTTTCGCAGGGGATTTTGCTCCCCCGATCCCCGAGTTCCGCCCGAAAAGTTTGGCCGCTCCGAACAAGAGGGGAAACCCTAGGATACACCCCAAGGGAGCTACGTATTCGGACGCACCACTTTCGACGACGGACGCACCCCATCGTATATCCGAGGGTTCGACCCCAAATGTTTGGTCCATTCGGAAGCCCCACGAAGCCTGTGATAGGGGTCGACATATCCCCTGTTACCCTTCTTTTTCGTCGTTCACCTGGCATCAGTGGTCGGTTGCGCTCCTCCCTCCTTCCTCCCCCTCCTCTTAGGCGCCTCCCCAACATACTAGTACTATATGTTCGTCGCCCTCCCCATTGGCGCCCTTGCATCCTTGCCTCCTCGGTCCATCCTTGGCCACTTTCGTTGGCCGCGCCCCGCTCGAAAAGCCTCGGACTCGGCGTCCAAGGCCCTCGCATACTTACCGCGCATTCTCATGGTACGGGTTGGCTGTATGTCCGCGCCCGAAGAGGACAGAGTTCTAGCATGTCCTTTTGCGCCCTGTCCTCCCTCTTCCCACAAGCATCCCGGCGGCGATGCGTCGTCAGAGTTCGTCCTTCACAGGTCGTCAGGAGTCTTCTATGGTACAAGCTCCGTGGCGACCGCCTTCTGGCCGTACCGCCCGGGAAACTATAGACTACACGATGGTTCTACGATGTGTTCGGGTCGGACGAGGCGCTCCTTTGCAAGTACGTCGACTACAGCACCGCCTGATCCCGAGGCTTTGCCTCCTCCCGGCCTCGTTCTGAGGCGGCGCCCCCCTTTTCTTCCCCCATCCCTGGTTAATTCAAGCTTCGCGCGGCCCGCTTAGCTTCGACCGGAAGAGGTGCGCTCTCGACCCGCGAATCAAAACAGTTCGGGTCGGAGGCACGCTTCCAAGGAGGACACAGAGTTCTAGTCTAGGCGACCCGCGTAATAAGCATGAGCGACTGTTCCAAGGGTGCCCTTGGATCCTTGCCTCCTCGGTGCATCCTTGGCCACTCTCGTTGGCCGCGCCGCGCCCGAAAAGCGTCGCAATGGGCATCCAAGGCCCTTGCCTCCTCACCGCGCATCCGTATGATACGAGTTGACTGTATGTCGCGTCAAAGGGCCAATCTGGACAGGGCCAACCGGAATTTCAGAAGAGGGCCAATCTTAATTTCAGGAAAAAAGGCAAATCAGGATATTCTCGGCGTGGAAGCCTTGAGCAAAACGCCTCGGTGCCGCCCCGGGGAGAGGCAAGCTGAAATTCGTGCAAGCCTAGTCTGAATTTCAGCGAGGAAGTCTGAATTTCAGCAAGGAGGACAGAGTTCTAATATGTCCTTGGGCGCCCTATCACCCCTCCCCCCGAACAACATCACGGCGGCGATGCGTCGTCGAAGGTCTCGGCATCGCTCGGACGTCGGGCGTGTCCCTCTACAGGGGGAACATGTTTGACTATGTTTTCCCATTTGGGGGGCATTTTTTGGGTCTTGTCATTTTTTTGTTTTTTTGTTTACAAAAAAAATAAAAACAAACAATACATATATATATATATATATGTAAAACATGAAATGGCTCGCCCAACATCCCCTTGTAGGGGGACGCGCCCGACTTCAGTCTATAAGGCGGGCGCTCGCAGGCTCGACCCAGTATCGGGGCCCCCCCTGCGCCTCTGCGGGCGCGCCCCCCTTTCCCGAGAGCCGCGGGCGCCGCGCGGGGCCCCCGCCGCGGCCTGCGAGGAGAGACGCCGCGGGGGGGGCGAAGAGGGCGCCCTCGGGGCGCGCGCTCCGTCGGCTCCCGCGGGGGCCCCCCTCCCCTCTCTCGGAGGAGGGAGATCAGAGCCCCGAATCATCAGGGTCGGGTCCGGCGAAAGGGGGGGGATTGGGAAAGGGGGGGTTACGAAATTTGCTGCATGCAGCTGGTTTCGGCCTCACCGAGGGGCCCATTCCTCGATGCATGGCCGCTCCCGGCGCCGGGAGGCGCCGGGAAAATCAGCTACGTGAGCTGATTCTCAGACCCCCCCTTTGCTATCCCCCCCTTTCGCCCGACCCGACAGGGGTAGCTCGGGTCAGGGCTAACTCGGGTGCCTTTTTCGGGAATCCAAGCCCGAGTTACCCCGGACCCGAGCTACCCCGGATAACTCGGGCGTCCAGAGCCCCGAATCATCAGGGGTAACTCGGGTCAGGGCTAACTCGGGTTCCTTTTCTGGGAATCCAAACCCGAGTTACCCCGGACCCGAGTTACCCCGGATAACTCGGGCGCCCAATCTACACCCCTGCCCCCTCGCACGCTTCTCGGCGGCGGACAACCCCTCCCTTTAGTGAACCTCCCTTTGGTGAAAACGGCCCGGGACCGAAAACGACGGACCTGGACCCGCAACCATGACGGCCGCGACGCCCTCTCGCGAACCGAAAACGGCCAATCCGCTAATCGACGTGTCAGGGTAGGAGGTCTGTCCACCCCCGAGTTGCCCCCTTTTTGGGCCTCCGGGGAGGCCCTCGTCGCCACCGCCGGATTCGCCTCGAACTCCTGGTCCGAACGCAGCCCGGGAGAGGTCCAGGGAAGTACCAGGCTGGGGGCCCCCAAACGGTGTGGTGACCACACCGTGCGGTGTGTCGGTGGGGATTCGGGGTCACCGCCCGGTTTGGGGACTCGGATCGTTCTCCGAGGATGTCTCGGGCGACAGGGGCCCCCAGGGTCCCAAGGCCGTGCGGTGACGGACCGTGCGGTGAGGCCTCTTGGGGTTCCGAGGTCACCGCACGGTCTGTCACCGCACCGTTTCGGGTTTCCAAAGAGATTCACTTGAAGCGCCGCGGGGGTGGATACGAGGATAGGTCAGGAGGGAAAGAAACACACAGACACAATTAATCTTCGATTTCTTGGAAAATATGGGAAAATATGGGAAGTGGTGGAAAGACAAAGAACCAGAAAATATGGGAAAATATGGGGAATCATTTTATTTGTGTGTATTTATTTGTGTGTCCAGGGGCCCCTTCAATAGGGGGATGCAAGCGGATGCTACGGTGGGTTCTATCCGGCCCGACGCAGCTCAAGAGTGGGTTGCACGTGCCCTGCGTGGCCTCGGGGCGCGCAGATTGGGGCGAAGTGGGCGGAGCCCACTTCTCGGAGCGACTTCAGCATCCTAAGCCGCATCGTGCATTTGTGATGCCAGAGAAGTTATGAACATCGTGCATTCCTTCTCCACTTGTTATGCCCATCGCGCATCGTACTTCATCATCCTAAACCACTCATAACTTAGGTTAGGCCAGAGAAAGCCTCACTTTGGCATCCACTTCTACCCCCCCCCATCCCCTTGGCAACCACCGCGGCGATCCAAGCAGGCAAGTTCACTTGAGATCATGGCGTTGTATTTTTTCGCGACGGGCGTTTTTGCCTGGGTGTCGGGCCTCGTGGGGCCCTCACAGATGGATCGTTTTCGAAACAGGGCACAGACAGGTTCGGCTCGGGGGTTCTGGTCGTGATGTTGGCCGGATACCCGGATGATCGGGCGTTTTTTTTCCCCCCCGGGAGATTTCGGCGAGTTTGTTTGCATGGTGTTCCCCCCCTCCTTCCCCCTGTTTTCGGGGCCTCTTGAACAGATGCTCGGCCGAAAGGGCGTGCAAGTGTGTTCCCGCGCTGGCGTGAAGTCCAGACTGCCTTTCGGGCCTTTCCACGCCCCCTCCCCCCTTCCCCCTCCGTGCAAGAGAACTTGCCAGAATCTGAAGAAAAACGGCCTCAAGGCATTTATCGATCCCGATCTTTCAGGCTCGTCGTCGTCGTCGTCGTCGTCGTCCCCCCAGATCCGGTGTCATTTTTCAGTGCGGGGTCTTCGGAAGTCCCGACCACTTTCCTTGGGGACCGCCCGTTTGCCCTGAGCTGTGTTCTGACGGTCCCAGGGGCCGGGCAGGGGCCGCCTGGGGCCGACAACAGAAACAGACCATCCCGCCACGATTATGTCAGGGCGCGAGGGCGTTGGGAAGGGCGAAGGGCGCCCAAGAGTTCCAATCTTCGATGATGGGCCAATTGTCCACCACCACTACCATAGGTAGGGCGTGGGAGAAGGGAGGATGGGGAGGTCCTCCTCCTCCTCCTCCCTCCCCTCCTTCTCCTCACCCTGTTTCTCACTCTCCTACATATGGTAGTGGTAGTGGAAAACGGGCCCATCATTCGAAGCTCGTCGTCGTCATCGTCGTCGTCGTCTCCAGCGAGACGAATCCCGCCGTGGCGACGACAGACGAAAGGCCGCACAAATCCAGGTCTCCGAGGCCCCAGACATCCGACGATCTGTTTTTTTCGAGGCACGGCCCCGGCATAGGCACTTTCCCGCAGAGGTAATCTTCCCCCTGGATCCGTTCTTTATAGCCCCAGGCCCGATAGCGGGCCGCGGTATCCGAAATCTCAGACAAAGCGCCAGCAATGAAGCAGATTGACACAGGCTTGGGGCTTGTCGTCGTCGGCGCCAGTGGAAAAAGCACCACCGGAGCCCTGGACCCCATCTTCCTGCGCCGTGCTTCGAGCCGGATCCCGTCCGTGAAGATTGGCCGACGGCGCTTGGCTGGAGTGAGACAGCTCGTCGTCGTCGGCGTCGCTGGCGCTTTTTCTGAGATTTCGGCTCGTCGTCGTCGGCGTCGGCGGCGGCGTCGTCGTCGTCGTCGGCGTCGGCGTCGCTGGCGTCGTCGTCGTCGTCGTCGGCGTCGCCGGCGTCCTCGCCGTCGGCGGCGGCGTCGTCGTCGTCGAGAGGGCGCCGCGCGCCTTGGCGGGTCGCCGCCGCGGGCGTACGGCGCCGTCGAGAAAGCGCCCGAGCAGTCGCCGGAGGCGGGCGAGGCCTGCGCGGCCCCCGTCCGAGCGCCGAAGGGGGGGCGTCGGGGCTCCCTCCTCCTCCCTGCTCCTTCTCCCCCCTGCTCCTCCTGCTCCTCCTCCTCCTCCTCCCTGCTCCTCCTCCTCCTGCTCCTCCTCCTCCTCCTCCTCCCTCCCTCCCTCCCTCCTCCTGCTACTCCTCCTCCCTGCTCCTCCTCCCTGCTCCTCCTCCTCCTGCTCCTCCTCCTCCCTGCTCCTCCTCCTCCTGCTCCTCCTCCTCTCCTCCTCCTCCCTCCTCCTGCGCCTCCTCCTCCCTGCTCCTCCTCCTTCCTGCTCCTCCTCCTGCTCCTCCTCCTCCTCCCTCTCTCCCTCCCTTCCTCCCTCCCTCCTCCTCCTCCTCCCGCCTCCCTGCGTCCCTCCTCCTCCTCACGCCTCCTGCCTCCGAGCCGGGAGTTGGGGCAGCAGATTCGCAGGCAAGGTTTCTAGCCCAGCCCCTCGGGGGTGGACAGACCTCCTACCCTGACAGGTCGGTAAAGGAATTGGCCGTTTTCGGTTCGCGAGAGGGCGTCGCGGCCGTCATTTTTGCTGGTCCAGGTCCGTCGGTTTCGGTCCCAGGCCGTTTTCACTAAGGGGAGGTATACTACAGGGAGGTTTGTCCACCGCCGAGAGGCGGCTGAGACTCTGTACGAACGAAATGGGCACGTAGAGAAGGGGTACAATGCCCAACAGCGGATCATGTTCATTTTGAACAGGACTCGCTGTCCACGCCGCCGCGGCCTGTGTCCGTTCGAGACAGAAGGCCGCCTGCCCAACATCGGCCGCTGTTGGTTTGGGACAACATTTGTTGTTGGGCATTGTACCCATTCCTTCCGTACCCATTTCGGGTGTCCAGGGCTACACCCCAAGGGGGCTACAGAGAGGACCCATGCCAAGAAACACCCTGCTTGCTTCCAGGGTGCCCGGGGTTTCTTGGGTTTCGAGGGTTTTGCGATGGGAAGCGTGACGTCCCCACACCAAAAATAAATGGACGTCTTGGGATCTCAGGGTTGGGTTTCTTGTGGAAGGTTTCTTGTGGACTGGCCTCCACTGTATCCGGACGCACCCCTATCGAGGATGGACGCCCCCCTCGTAAGTCCCAGGGTTGGGGCCAAAAGTGTTGGTCCATTCGAAGACCTCCCAAAGCCTGGGATAGGGGTCGACATGTCTACTGCCATAAATCACGGAAGCCTCCACTCGCCGTGGTTCGAAGGTATATCGGCGCGCAGCGCTCAGTATCGCCGAATAGCGCTCCACCACGGCAACCGAATAGCGCCCAATTGGCGACCACGAGTGATTCGACAGCGCCCCATAGCGCCATGTGAGGGGTGGGAAGAGTGTATCTATGCACCCATCTATTTCCCCGTTGTGGAGCCTGTGCCAGGGACTTGTTTGGCATCGATGTGCCCGCAATATAGTTAATGTCATTGATATGTCCCTCGTTTTCACTCCGCAACATCGTCCGTCTTCCTCCTTCTCCTCGCACCTCCCCCTGCTCTCCTCCGCTCGAAGACGCCGTTGCTGCGTTGCAGGCTGCATTCTCGCTGCCATCCGCTGCTGTTGTTAAGAACGCCGCGATCAGTCCGGATCGCGCTCCTCGCACGGATCGTGCCCCGTTTGGGGATTCATGTATGATCCTAGCGGTGGCGTGTTTGAACAGTTCGGGTGGCCATTGAAAAGTTCGGGAAGCAACAGAAAGTCCGCGGCCCAAGTGATGCATACAATGTCAGGACGGCGGAATTTGGCGAATGTGTCAGGCCAAACGACTCACGGACATTCTACACACCGATCGGGCCACAGGAAGTCAGAGTGAACGACATTCTGGGACCGATGAGGCCAGTGGTCTCGACGACGGCACCGCGTTTCCAGACTGGAGCTTGAAGCGGAAGCTTCCCGACGCCGAGGCAACATGAGTTTCGAGCACAGTCAACCCGGATAAAAGGATGAACAGTTTTCCAAGGTTGCCTTTGCATCCTTCCCCTTCGGCCCATCCTTCGCCGCTGTCGCTGGCCAGCCCCACTCGAACAAACGTCAACATTCAGGAGGAAAAGAAACACACAGACACAATTGATCGTGGACTCCCAAGAGAATATCGGAAAATATGGGAAGTGGGGGGGAAGACGAAAACCCAGAAACTATTTGAAAATATAGGGAATCCTGCTATTTGTATGTATTTATGTGTGTGTCCCAGGGCCCCTTCATATATGGGCGACGCAAAACAAATGGGACCGCCTTGCCCCGCCCCGCCCCCCCCCCGCCCCCCCCCCTGCCGCTGCCCCACGACAGGCATCTCCTCCTCCTCCTCCTCCTCCTCCTCCTCCTCCTCCCTCGTCCTCCTGATGGTTTCGAAAGGTGCCCGAGCAACTGCGGCCCTGCTCGCGCTTGTCCAGGCACGCCCTGGACGCTTTCGGGAAGGAGAAGCGACGCCGACACCTCCAGGGGGCCACGTCCAGCGAGGAGGTCCACGATGCCTCCCCGAGCTGGGGACAGGTGGTGTTTCGAGCGCGGGGGTGGGAAGGGAACACACCACCAGGAGGACCCCTCCCTGGCTCCTCCCGCTGGTGGTCCCTGGTGGTGTTGGTGTCGCTTGACCTGTTTCACCAAGGCTCGAGCTGAGCGGTGTCTTGGCGATTCCGTGGGCCGCTTCTATTCTGATTTCGTTTTGCAGCGAAGGGGGAACGACGGCACAACAAAGGAGAACGAACGCCGAACGAACACGAGCAGCTCAAGCCTTGTCGCGTGGCGAACGGGATTCGTGTGCCCTCCGTCGGCAACTGCGCCAACGCCGCTCAGGCCCACCGGAGCAAATCCCCGCGCACAAGGCCAGCCCATGGAGACGCACGCTTCCCAAGCGGAGCCGCCGGCGCAGCCCCCCTCCGAGTTCCGATGGGGGGCGTCGGCGCCCCGGCTTGCCGTGGGGATCGAAACGTGGGTCCGCGTGAGGACTCTTATGGGGAGAGCTCCGGAGACCACGCGCAGCGCGCCATCGTCGCATTATGTGAGCAATGTTCGTCCTCCTCCTGCGTGGATTCCCTCGGCGGACGCCGCTCCGCCTTGCCCCCAAGCCGCGCGGTGGTCACGGGCGCCCTGCCTTGGTGCGCGCCGTTGCCATGACGTGCGCAGTCGCCATGGCGTACAGGCGTTGTGGGTCCATCATATCAGAGCGTTCCTTGGCCAAGAAAAAAGCATTCACAATCAACTTGATATTGAATGTGATACGTTCGGGCCCCCGGCGATTTTTCTGGAGTTTGGCTCCGTCGGTACCCTCAGGTGTTCCCAAGTTTTGTGGTGTACGCAGGCACTGTGGTGTAAGGGGGGTGCTGAAACAGCATCTGTGGTGAACACGGGCGCCGCGGTGTGCACAAACAGTGTGATGTACATGAGGCGCTGTGGTGTACACAGTTGTCATGGTGTATACAGCCGCCGTGCTGCACACACACACACACACACCATTTCTGCAGCAGTCCTGGTGCACAAGGGCATTGTGTTGTACAGGGCCCGTCTTGTGTGCACAGGCGTTGTGGGGTTGGACTACGACGACGACGACGACGACGACCGACGCCGCCGCCGCCGACGACGACGACGACGACGTATAGGCGGCGCGCCTCGGGGGGTGCGCGCCGCCGCCCCGTTACCGTTACCCCCCCCCTCGCCTTCCCCCCAAGTAACACGTGTTATTTTCCAGGATTGAACAATGGTTTCATTTTCCCTGTGCCCGTACTCCGATCCGTGGCGGGCGTTTTCTGTCCATACTGTTTGGGTGGCGATATGTTTATACTATATGTTCGGCTCTGATGAACGGGTCCACTGAGAACAGTATTAGTGTGTCCGTATGCGTCCTATCCCACGGAACGGGGGGATTGGGAGAGCGGATGGTACGCCATTTGTTGTTGCAGTTGGATTGGGCCTCGCCGCAACGCTTTCTCCTCGGTGCAATGGCGCCCTTGCGGCATGAGGCGCCGGGAAGACAAACTACAGTCGAGGCTGATTAGTAGGTCGTCCCTGCCAAAGCAAGGTTACCCTTTGTGTCCTGCGTTTCGCAACCTGGGCCCTCTAACATTCCGATGGCAGCGTGGCCCTCGGAAGGGTCTTGTGGCTTCTTTCGTGTCCCAACTGTAGGCGAGCTGATTCGCAATCCTCCCATTTGCTGTCCCCTCCACTCGCCCGGCCCGGAAGAACGGGGGTGCATGCGCCCAGGCGGGAGACATCGCCCCCGATCGCCACAGCATCGCCGATCGGGCCGATGGGGAAACAGGACCCCCACCCGGCCCCAGGAGCGCGCTGTGGTGGCCCACCTGCAGCGAGGAGGTTCTTTGTCTTGGCATCGCTCGGGCGTGTGCTTGTTTTCATTGGTCCGAACGATACCCGTACCCAGGGCTAGCCAAGGTGAGATGGGCCGTCCGGGGGATTGGGCGCTTGCTGTTGTGCTCGGTCAGCTTGCCCCGCGCGCGCCAGTGCAGCATCCGCGCGTCAAGACGCAACGGCACGCTCGATGGTAGGGTGTCTGATTGCAGCGACAAGCGTTGGTTGTTGTTAGGGACGTCTCGGGGCATCGTGGTGCGTGCGCGGCCCAAAGTCGGCCAAATGTGGTGGCGCCTGTCCCAATCGATAAAGAGTTGCATGTCCTCGCTATCCTGGCAACCAATGCGTCTGGGCCTGTCTTGAGAAACGACGCTGCAATGTCGCGCCCCCAGGGGGCCGCAGCGGCCACGTCGGGGACGGCTTTGGAGGGCATGATATGTGCTCGAGAGCGTTTTGGGCCTGCCGCCACCTCGGCTAGGTACGGGGACCTGCATGAAGCCACCGAAACATACCCGGACCTAGCTGGGGTGGAGCTGCGGAACCCCGGCTAGGTACGGGTATTTTTTTGGTTTTCATGGGGCAACCGTACCTCGCTGGGGTGATCCGCAGACGGCCGTCCAAGGGGGGCGGCCTCCTGGCGACTTCGCCCAGGGCACAGACTCGCGATGTCTCTGCATCGAGCAATTCGCGAAAGGGTGGTTGTCGCGCAATGACGTTCGCGCCAGAGTTGTTCGCATGCGCCCCCGAGTGCGCGTTGACTCCTTCACGCCCGGATGTGTGTTTGGGGGCGCGCCTCCGCAGTAGCTGGTCTACATCGACAACAACCAACGCAGGGTCGGGCACTCCGCGGATTCGAACGCACGCGCGATCGGTGCTAACATGCGCCCCGAGAAGACAGCGGTCTGTAATGCTCGATCGGCTGTCGTTTCTACACTTGTGCAGCCGCCGTCAGCTGCGACGAACCGCCCCCCCGGCCCCTTGCCACCCTGTCTAGGTAAGGGTACGGGTGTCTTTCGCGCTCGAGATGTTTTTTTTCCTCGGCGAGAACCATCGAGGACCATCCTGGACCAATCGAGCGACAAAGAGAAACACACACACACAAACGGAACCGAATAATGCACGAGAAATGGACGTCCGAGCGACGGCAAGTTGTGCCTTCCCGAACAGGAGATTGGAGAAGTATCGGGCGGGACGCCGCAAAACAGGGGACCGCACAACCAGGAGCAGCCTCCTCTGAGTGTAGAAACACTGTCTCACCACAAACTGTGGGATGTCTGCGTGGATGTCTCGAATCGGCGTTGAAAGCGTGTCGGGGGACCAGCGATGATGCAAGACATCCGCGGTGAGCTCCGGCATTGTCTACTTTCACAGCACAGCTCTTCACAGTTATGCTTACTTGCTTGTCCGGCTCTCGACTCCCTGCGTTGGGTGGTGGTGTGGGTTTCCTCTGTTCCTGGGCTCGGCCGCCCACTGCTGCACCCCGCAGTGTTCGGGCTACGCTCCTGCGTGGCTCCTGCTGCTGCTCCGATGGCGCATAAGCTCGGCATACGTTCCTGTTTCCTGAGCTCGGCCTAAGCTCTCAATGGTTCCTCTCGGAAGCCGCACGCCCGCCCATGGCTGCACCCCCTCCGGGTCGCGCGTGGGTCACTTTACAACCAGAAGCGCACTTTACAACCAGATGGGTCACTTTACAACCAGCTTACAACATCCGAGAAGGGCACTTTACAACCAGGAAGGGCACTTTACAACCAGGCAAGTAAAAACACATAGTGAATGCACGCGTGCCTTTCCCTGAAATCTCCGTGGGCAAGCGCAAGGGTGGCTTTGGGCTCTTTGAGGCATGCTGGTTGTAAAGTTGCCCATCGCGCACGAAGAAGCACTGCGCACGAGTTGGCGATGCGGCGACCTGGTGCGCTATGGCATGTTGCGTGCTGGTGGGCGGATTCGAGTTTTGACCTGCTCTCTAAGCTCTGTCGGTCAGTTCTGTCATTGCTTGCTCTGCCTTTTTTCTGACGGGCGAAGGCTAGTCGCGCAGGACATACGAATAAACCATGATCCCGTCCAAGACTGGAGCTGCATGGCAGCGGAAAGCTATAGTGGGAGATGTGGTGGCAGCGGGGGCTACAATGGGAACTGCATGGTGTTGGGAAGCTGCGGTGGCAACTGTGGTGGTCGCCAGGCAACGGTGGGAACTGTGGTGGTAGCTGGGCTGCAATAGGATTTGCGGTAGTAGCGGGGGGTCAGTCGGAATTGTGGAGGTAGCGGGGCTGCAGCGGTAAGTGTGGTGGTAGCAGGCACAAAGGTGGCGGTGATGCGCTGTCACGGTGGCTCAAGCTGCTGCGCTGGCACGGTGGCTGAGGCTGCTGCCCGAGCAGGATACCTGCGTTGCTGCGCTGGCACTGTGGCTGACGCTGGAAGAAACGATCTTCGAAATAGCTGCATTTATTCGGAACGTTGAACCTCGATCTTCCAAGACGAGGAGCAGCAGGGGGCCAACTGGAGCTGGCGCACTTAGCCCCTTGCAGAACACCGTGGGGCTTCAGGGGCCAACGTGGCCCAAGAGACCCGCGGTGCCAATGGCCTAGTTCCCTGGAGCGCTGGGCCCTTGTGGAGGCCACTGGGCTCGCTTCCTGTGGGTGACCCCTAAAATGGGCAGCGCGTCGCCCTGAGCCTTCCTACGTACGCTGTCGCCTTATTCCCGCGCGAGCACGGGGCCCTTGTTGAGGCCGCTTGGCCCCTGCTAGCAAGCCCTGTCTTAGTCTGCTGGGCTCAGAGCGCCAGAGCGTCCAGGCGCTCGGGCTCAGAGGCATCGCTGGGGCCTGCTCGGAGCGTCCAGGCGCTCGGGCTCAGAGGCATCGCTGGGGCCTGCGCGGAGCGTCCAGGTCCTCGGGCTCAGAGGCATCGCTGGGGCCTGCGCAGAGCGTCCAGGTCCTCGGGCTCAGAGGCATCGCTGGGGCCTGCGCAGAGAGTTCAGGCGCTCGGGCTCCAGAGCGCCCACGTGCTCTGGATCACTTTTCAGAGCGTCCGCGCGCCCTGGAGCACTTTTGAGAGCGCCCACTTGCTCTGGAGCATTTTTCAGAGCGCCCACTTGCTCTGGGGCATTTTTCAGAGCGCCCACTTGCTCTGGAGCACTTTGCGGAACGCCCAAACACGCACGGCCACTCTGAGCTGGTTGTAAAGTGGTCCGTTCTGGTTGTAAAGTGGCCCGTTCTGGTTGTAAAGTGGTCCGTTCTGGTTGTAAAGTGGGCCGTTCTGGTTGCAAAGTGGACGTTCTCGATGAAAAACCATACTTTCCAATCCTATGTTGGTTGTAAAGTAACCCATCTGGTTGTAAAGTGGTTGTTCTGGTTGTAAAGAGACCGAATCTCCGGGTCTGGGGGCCTCGCCGAGGCCAAGGACGGCCCCGAGACCAGCCCGGGCTCCACGATGGACAACGGCACGGCCTGCGAGGAACCGAGGGAGAGGGGATGAGAAAAGGGGGAGTGGGGTTCAGTCGAGGCGAGGCGAGGGGGAGGATGACGACAGAAGGAGGACGAGGAGGAGGAGGAGGAGGAGGAGGAGGAAGAGGAGGGGGAGGAGAAGGGCGAACAGGAGGAGGAGGAAGAAGAGGAAGAGGAGGAGGAGGAGGAGGAGGAGGAGGAGGAGGAGGAGGTGGAGTCGAGAAGAGGGGGAGGAGGAGGAGGTGGAGCCGCACAGGAGACGTCAATCCCTATCACCCAGACTAGTGTGTAGGTTTCTCGCGGAGTGCTGGTGGAATAGTATGGGCCCGATCATTTTTGTAAGGGGGTGCTCACACGCAGTGCCCCCCAGAGGACGCAGTGCCCCCCAGAGGACGTACTTCGAATTCTAGCGGCCATATGCCTTCGCCCGTCCCAGCAGGTGCACCAGATGTGACAGTGGTGGCGCGCATTTTCTTGCTGCGTGACTTGGATGTGATTTCTCACACGCTTCAGTTCTAGGCATGGTAGAACCGAAGATCCGTAGGAGGAGGAGGAGGAGGAGGAGGAGGAGGAGGAGGAGGAGGGAGAGGGGGAGGGTAAGGAGGGAGAGGAGGAGGAAAGGAGTGAAGGGGGGAGGAGGGGGCTGAGGAGGGGAGGAGGAGGAGGAGGAAGAGGAGGATGGAGGGAGAGGAGGAGGAGGAGGAGGAGGAGGAGGAGGAGGAGGAGGACGAGGAGGGAGGGGAGGGAGGGGAGGGAGGAAGGGAGCAGGAGCAAGGTGGAGGAGGAGGGGGAGGATGAGAAGAAGGAGTGGTAGGAGGGGAAGGGGGGGAGTAATGGAGGTAAGCGGTCCCACTCCAGGAGAGGCGTGCGGAGGTGGGAGACTCAGCTCCCTCCAGGGGCTGGGGCCCACGCTCGGGCTGCCTCTACACCCGCAAAGCACAGGCGCCATCAGCCTGCCTCCTACCCACACACCCTCGCGTTGTGAACACAAACATCGACGGCAGGTTTGTCGCCGCCATTTTTGGCCTCCGGGGGCCCTTGCCGGGCTTCGGGACTGTCGAAAAACGACTCCTCATGAAAAACCGGTCCTGGGGAAGGGGTCCAGATTTTTGGGAGTCGTTTTTATGCATATATATATATATAACAAAAACGACGTGGGGGTATGGGTTTTTCCCCCTCCCAGTGCATCAGGTTCTTTCTTTCTTCCTCTAAGTTTTTCCCCCTGCCACCAACGGGTAGGGCTGGTTCGGAGTTTTCGACAGTTCTTGGTGACTCAGTCCGCAGTCTCGGGGCCCGAGGAGGAGGAGGAGGAGGAGGAGGACCGAACATCGAGTAGACAGTTGAGTCAAGTTTTGGGCAGCGCTTGATACTTGGGAAGCGCGTGGGGACTTCAGAGGGACTCCCGGAGGCAGGAGGAGACGGGGCTAGGAGGGGAAGGGGCAGGCGTCATAGGGGACAGGAGGAGGGTCTGAAAAGTCTCTGGTGGTGGGCCTCTGGGTGTTCTTAGGGGTTACGAGGCCTCCCTGGAGGGCGTGGATACATGGGAGAGGAGCAGGGCATTGCCCGCGAGGAGTCGATGAGACGGGGGAGGACGAGGGGGGTGGGAGGAGGAGCAGGGCACGATTCGGCGAGGAGCGGGTGAGGAGGAGGAAGAGGAGGAGCACAACGACGACGATGACAGTGATCGGGCATGGCGCCGTCCGGGACGGTGCGAAGGGGGTGCAGAGAGGGGGTGGAGCAGGGCGCTGCTCGCGAGGGGGCCGGATAGGGGCAGGCCCGGGGGAGAAGCAGGCGTGGCATGCGAGGAGTCGAGCAGAAGAGGCACATGTACGTGTCGGTCGTTGAAAGTACAGTCAACGCGCCTGGTAGGGACGCGCGCCATCATCTAGGGTATCCTTGTGTCCTTGCCTCTGAGGCCCGTCCTTGCCATTATCACTGGTCGCCCGCCGCCTTAAAAAAACCCAACTTCGGCCTCCAAGGATCTTGCGTCCTTATCACCCGTCCTGAATACACGTTTTGATTGTAGCTGTTTTTGGTTTTCCTGATCCCAGTCTTCTTCTAGCGCCAGCCTGCTTCAAGGGTCGATATGCGTTTGCTGTGTTCTGTTATTCTCCAGGAGAGCCTGAGCCCAATCTACTCTATCCGCCTTCCTACTTCAGGCTTCTACCCAGGTCTTCCGACCGACGTGTTGGGCCTCCAGGGAGGCCCTCGCCATCCCGGCTGGATTCCCCCCTGGAATTCTGGCCGATGCGGTGCCCCCCGTCGAGGAGGACGAGGACCATCCCCGCCCGAGCGCGTGACTGCTTCCACCGACCGAGCCCCCGGAGCTCCCGCCCAGGGGCCGTCTCTTGACGCGGGTGTGGAAACACACGCACGACCCACGGGGCCAGAGAGCGATCGGGAAGAATCAGGAGGGGAATAAACACACACAGACACAATTATTCGTCGACTCCCAGAAAATATGGGAAAATATGGGAATTGGGCGGGAAGACAAACACCCAGAAAATATGGGGCATCTTTTCATTTGTGTGTATTTATTTGTGTGTCCCAGTTCCCCTTCAAAGAAGACCGACAACATTGCTTGCCCGGCATGTGCTACCGATGTCACCGCGTACGGTCAACAGCGACCGCTGTCGATTTTTTGGACAGCATGTGCTGTTGGGCCTCAGGCCCATGTTTCCCGTACCCACCTCGGGTGTGCTGAGCAGAGGCCAGATCTCATGATGCTCCAACCTATTTCAGCCTTGATCACCGGAAAGAGTTTCGAACACCTAGAAAGTACCGAAGCTGGAGGGTTTTCACATGTCGGGCCCTGGGGAGGTGATACTCGTTCGACACTGCTTCAAAACTTCTCTGCGTGCTCGAAATTGTTTCTGGGATGTGGTCCTTGATTACGATAGGAACAACACAAACCGGATCCTGTTTTTGTTCCCCTCTCCCCTGCTCGGTCGAGGGAAGAGCCGCCCCGCCCCAGCAGGAGCCGCCCCGCCCCAGCCGCCCCCGTAGCCATTTTGGCTCAAGGCTCAAGTCTGCCGCCGGCATGCTCTCCGGATACTTTCTTCACCGATTTTCTATTCCATTTTTTTATCCCAACGTGTTGAGCGTTGCCATGGCGAATCTGAATGTTCAGGCTAACCTCGACAGTGCATTTGCATCGGCTGCTAAACGAGGACCTTCGGCTTCTCCTGTTAAGGAGAAGCTTGAGAAGATCCAGCGCCTGACGGAGACCATGGTATCGACGACACCTGGATCTGGATCTCAGGGTAGTTCCGCTCAGTCTCCGAACATCGAGGTTCTTGAGGCCATTTCAGCGCTCTCTTAGAAGATGGACAAAATGGCTCTGAAGTCGGACACTGAGGACCAGAAGGGGAGTTCTGATGCTTTCAAAAGGGAAGTACAGGCGGAGGTCAAAGTCACCGTTTCAGAGGCCGTAGACCCCGTGAAGGAACTATGCTACGAATTGGGTTCAAGAGTTTCTGTCTCAGAATCTAATCCACCTGCATCTGACGCCGACACGCGCACCATTAAGGAGTTGCAGAGCAGCGTCAACCGCATGGATCCTGCTCGTCGTCGCGTCGCCTTCGTTGGCTGTCTGGACGGCTTCGCAGCCGACGCCCGCATCGCAAGGATGGAGGCCTTCATGACGGATCACTTCGAGACTTTCGCCCCACTGGATTTGGTAATGAGCACAAGGGTCCGAACACGAATCGTACCCTTTCCCCCGGATATCTGGTCGAGTTCTCCAACGTCTAGGTCGCAGAAGCTTTCCTCTCGAACGTGTCGTTGTCCAGCACTGAGCTCAACGTTGATAGCAAGAAATTGATGATTAAACCCGCCCGCACGCAAGTGCAACGCAAGCGGAACAATGCTATGCGAAAGGCCCAGGAGTTGATCAAAGCCTCACTTTGGCCTCCGGCAAGGAGGTCAAGATCGAGTGGACAATCGACGGTTCTCGGAGTCGGCTTGTGACTGTTAACGGCACCGCCGCATTCAAGCAGGAGGAAAACGACATCAAGGGGGTCTTCCTTCAGCCATTCGCGGACTTAATCATCCCGTAGGGAGTATTCGGGGCCGTTCATCATCAACGCACCCCTCCACATTCGCATTATGCGCACGTCCCTTGGCACGCCCGCCGGTCTCTGGCAGATGAGCGGACCCCACAGCTGACACCCCGACGCCAACGACGTCGAGGTCTTCGGTCTGTTCTTGCACGTCACACTCGGCGCCACCATTGGCTTCAGAATTCGGGTCGTCAGCGTCCTCCTTGCGAAGGCTCGTGCAAATCCGAGCCTTGTTCGCCAGATCCATAACTTTCTTTTGCCACGGTGCCTGTGAATTCGCGCTGTTTTCTTTCACGCCATGCCGAACTTCAGGGTCCACTTGAACTGTTGCAGTTTCCCGATCTCGTGGCAATCACGGAGAGCTGGTTGGACGGGTCTGTTGCCGATGCTGTGTTGCATGGCTACAAGGTGGCGGCATATTTTTTCCGCAAGTGTGTCATTCAAACGCTGCGTCGTCCATGTTGGTGATTCTCTTAATGCCGAGCGGTCGTGGCACATTCTCCACACGAGTATTGGTCCAATTCTGTTGGCTGTCTGGTACCCGCCTCCCGAGCAGGGATAGGCCGACGACATGCATGCTCTATTGACGGAGTGCCGCGATTACCAGCGGCAGGTTGTGGGCACCATCGTCATGGGTCACATGAGCGTTCATCACAGTCAGTGGTTGCGCTTTTCCTCGCAAGGTGTATCCAAGAAGGGGATGGTCCTGCTCGACATTTTCAACTGCATTGGGCTACAGGAAAAAGTTGGGAAACCGACTGCAGCGAACAACTTGCTGGACTTTGTCTTGGCGGATGTGTCCTTTGGCTTGACGTGCAAGGTCTTCCCACCCATCATCGACCACGACCATAATTTGGTATACGTGTCTACGGCTATGCGCGCGCAGCGTTCTGCACCGACTGTTCGAGAACAGTGGTTGTTTCAACAAGTCAATCTACATGAGGAGTGCTCAAAAATAGTTGAAACATGATCTGGGGACGATTCTTCTATCATTTCTGGAAAACGTTTAAGTCTTTCGTTTGGGTGTGTTTTGGCTTTCTTGTTTTTCATTATAAATCCGCCTGTAGGAGGACATGCCCGACCTAACCCCAATGGCCCGTCGATCGCCGATGGAGTCCCACCAGGCCCACACCGCACAGGCACGTGCGGATGCGCTGTCGGAGCGCTCTCGCCGATCTCTAGCGGCGACGTATCGCCGATTCCAGCACGATGTGTCTCCCCCGTCCCCCCATCACGTTTCCCTTCAGGCGATCGGGGCACCGAAAAGAAGGAGGAGGAGGAGGAGGAGGACAGATGAGCGTTGGGGAGTAGGACCTGGATGGAGGGAGGCCGAACGCCCACCTTGCCCTTGGACGTGTTTGGCCCGTTTCGCGTTCGCTGGGCGGCTTCTCCTGGGCACGCTTCCTGACGCTTTTCCCAAACAGCAGGACGCAAGTCATGGGAGGTTTAATTCAGCATCGGCGTGAGTACATCCCACAACATGTTTAGTTTGGCACGCGCCCGCATGATCCAGCTTGGCTCCGCCTCGTTTGGCTTGAGCGAGCTTAGTTTTGGGCCTAATCCAAGCTAGATCTACATACGATCGCCTTCATCGGGCTTGATCGTTCATCGCCGAATGCCTCCCAGGAGTTGCGTCCCAGCTAAAGTTGCAGGTCGCCACTCACGGCAGCGTGGAGACTGCAACCGCGGGACACCGCCAGCCCCCCCCGCGAGTTTCCGGCGCGAGCGGAGGCGACCTCGTTGACGCTGCAGTCTGGCGAGCGGAGCCTCTTGGCCGCACTGGAGGCCATCTGCCTTGGTATTCGAGGGGGGGGGGGGGGGGCACAGTCCGCCCGCATAGTCAGAGTAAGGATGGGCAGTTATCCTAAGGTAACCCTTGCATCCTTGCCTCCTCGGCCCATCCTTGGCCACTTTCGCTGGCCGCGTCCCGCTCGAAAAGTTTCGAGCTGGCCTTCCAAGGCCCTCGCGTCCTTATCGTGCGTCCTCATGGTACGGGTCGACAGCCCAGACGCTCGCGTCGCAGAAAAAACACGAGCGGAGGGTGTTCGCAGTTTTTTTTGGCCTCATGGGGGCCTTGGCCTTGGGTCTGGCACAAAACGATTTGGGATGGAACACCGGCCCTGGGGAAGGGTGTGTGGACCTCCGGGAACTCCATGCGGGGTGATATGGGAACAGGAAGGGGCCAGGCACAGCATTAGGGTTAAGTCGGGGATGTCCTCCACAGGAGGAAGACTCAAGAGTAGTCACAAATAGTTTGGGGCCGATGTTTCCGTTAGTTTCGAATAGTGTTGGACTATTTTCTGGTTTCTTTCCAGACGCCGCCTGTAGGAGGACGTGCCCGACCTGCTGGGCTCAGGGAGGGGGGGTCCTCCGGCTTTGTCGTCGGTCCCGGGTCCCCGCCAGTTGACCAGCCACCGGGGTGCCCAGATATCAGGAGGGAAAAAAACACACAGACACAATTAATCTTCGATTCCCAGGAAAATATGGGAAAATATGGGAATTGGGGGGGAGGACAAAAACCCAGAAAATATAGGAAAATATGGGGACTATTTCTATTTGTGTGCATCTATTTGTGTGTCCCAATTTCCCTTCAAGATAGTCCCGGACGGCCGCCAGAGAGCCGAGCTAGGACCCGAAAGCCAGCGGAGCAGTTCAGGGGGGGGGGCATGTGCAGACGGGGGCGCATCGACCCCCCGTCGCCCAGTCGTCGCCAGCAGGGGCTCGATCCCAGACTCCCGACGTCGTGGTTCCGTTCGCGACCCCGACCCCCAGAGGTCTGGGCCCCTCCCCTGGTACTCGTTTTTCATCCCGGGTCGTTTTGTGACGGCTCCGAGGCGTGGCATTGGCCCTCGGAGGTAGAACATAATGAAGAACCCCCCGTCGCATGTTTTTCACTGCAGGAGCGTTCGGGTTCGCCATCGGGGGCGTATCGCCGATCTGCCGGCGACGTATTGCGGATTCTTTTTGTAGCGTGCACGCCAGTCACTAGTCGTTGAAAGTATGTATGTTTGGATTCATCCCAATTTGCAAGCGCTTCCTACTTCAAGGATCGATGTGCTTCTCCTTGCTGCATGTTGTCCTTACTTGGGAAGGCCTGGACCCAATCTACTTTATCCGTCATCCTACTTCATGTTTTTTACTAATCACTTCCGACCGGCGTGTGATGTAATGGCGGGGTGATACGTGGTGAGCTGACGAAAGCCCGCCCCGCTTGTGCTCCATGGGCCCCCCTGGGGCCCAAAGGGGGGCACCGCCATTGGGAGCTTGCGATTTTATACACAGGGAGGTACAGTCAACCCGCATAGTAAGGATGGGCAACCTTCCCAAGGGTATACTTGCATCCTTGCCTCCACGGTCCATCCTCGGCCGCTTTCGTTGGCCGCGCCCCGCTCGAAAGCTTCGACGTGGCCTTCCAAGGCCCTTGCGTCCTTATCGCGCATCCTTCCTTCGCGGGTTGACTGTGCATGCAAAATTCGTCGGGGGGCGTGTCTCCGTGCACAGAGCTTCGTGGCGCAGAGGGGCCCCCCGCCCCCCTGGGGGGGCGGCGGCCTCCAGGGCCAGATCGCGACGCTGACGTCCGAGCTCGCGGCGCTGCACGCGCGCTCGCGGCACCTGGAGGCCAAGGCGCGGGGCCCGGGCGGGGCGGCGGGAGCCGCGGCGCGAGGCGAGGCCTCGAAGCAGTCAAGCAGTGGCGAAGCGTCCTGGCGTGCCGACAGCCCTACCAAGCAATGGTCTTAAGAACTTCTTGTTTGTGGTTTCCGCGAACCTGTTCTTAGAACATGTCTGGCTGGGACTGCCTTGTTTTGTCACATCGGGTTCATGTTCTAAGAACATTTTTATGTGATTAGACCATTTCTGGGCTCGAAGAACATTTCGTGGTAGGACTATCGGAATGCCGGGACGGTCGGTCCCTGCTCAAAGAAGGAGGACCAGAGTGAGTTGTGGCTTGTTTATCCCCGACTTGCGATAACTCAGAGGAGGAAGAGGTATCCATACCTGAGGAAGACGTATCCATACCTCTACCCTTCGCCCGTGTTCCCCTTGCTGGGTGTTCTTGGAGGCCGTCGTCGCCACCGCTGGGTTGGGCTCCACATCCTGGTCAGAACGCACCCTCGGAGAGGTCTGGGCAGCAGCAGCATCGGTACCAATTGGTTTCCCCAACAACGGGCCCTACCAGGGGGGGGGGGTCCCGTCACGTCGCGTTTCGCGCCGCCGCCGTACTGTCATTCCCAGACGGCGCGGGCCAGGAACGTGACGTGGCCAGGGAGGGGGAGGGTGGGGGGGGGGACGGCGCCGGTCGAGGAGGAGCAGGCCGACGAGCCATGACATCTACTCGACGCAGAGACACCGATAGGTGCGTGTTATTGTCGGAGGACGGGGATGAAGTTGGAGAGAACGAGGGCGAGCCAGGACAAAATTTCTCGTGGCGGAGATTCCCACATGCGCATCTCGTGTTCTGGCATATCCCCCGCGAGGGTCTGAGCACGGGTAGGTGGTGAGTCTGAATGTGCCGCGGCGAGAGATGAGATCTTGGGGAAGGATGGAGGCCCAGTTGACCCCCACCTCGTCTTGCTGTGAATACAACTCAGAGTCCCGAATCATCAGGGGTAACTCGGGTCAGGGTTAACTCGGGTTCGTTTTTCGGGAATCCGAACCCGAGTTATCCCGGACCCGGGTTACCCCGGATATTTCGGGCGTCAAGAGCCCCGAATCATCAGGGGTAATTCGGGTCAGGGCCAACTCGGGTTCGTTCTTCGGGAACCCAAACCCGAGTTATCCCGGACCCGAGTTACCCCGGATAACTCGGGCGTCCAAACAACTGGCGACGGGTGGGTTTGAGGGAGGTTCGGCGTTCGGGGTGGCCTTCGCTGGGCCCATCGGGCCGTAAACCAAACAGCTCGGGATGTACAAACCATCCCGCTGATTCGGATGCAACTCCTAGGCGGTCTAACTCTCATTTTACCCTGGTCCGAAATCCGGCTTAATCCCACTCAATCCTGCTCAATTCCGTTTAGTCCAGCTTAATACCGCTTTATCCGAGGCCCATTCTGGCGTAACAGCTCCCAAATGGGGCTGAATCTTCCTGAATCTTTCCGACGAAAACCTCCCAGTAATTGCCTCTTAGCCGTTGAAGTTGTTTAAAGTCTGGGGGTCAGCGCTTCGAAACAACATTCTAGACGCTTCACGTATCCCCACCAGTCCATCCAGGAACGGTGTCCAGGCGAGTTGAGGTGATCAGGGAAGTGTGGCAGCAAAGAGGAGGACGGCCGAACCGTGCAAAGGAGTGAGGAGGAGAAGGAGGAGGTGGATGGATGGATGGATGAGGGAGTGGGAAGAAGGAGGATGAATAGGATGAGGAGGAGGCGGAGGAGGAGGAGGAAGAGAAGAGAAGGAGGAGGAGCAGAAAGGAGGAACAGGAGGAGGAGGAGGGCAAGCACAAGGGCCAGAGGTCTCTTGGATGCCTCTCGGAGCCTCTTGGGGTATCTCTTGGGCGATTATTGGTGGCCTCTTGGGACGTCTTGGGGGTCTCTTGGCGATCCTGGGGGGCTCTTCGGGGTCTGGGGTGCCTCGGGGAGGGCCTCTGGGGCCACTTAGGGTCTTCTCGGGGGCCTCCTGGGGGCCTCTTGGGGGCCTCTTGGGGCCATCTTGGGGCCACCTTGGGACCTCTTGGGGCCTCCTGGGCGCTTCTTGGGGCCATCTTGGAGGAGATCGGTCAACGAAGGGGGGTTCCTCAATGTCGCCCCCCCCCCCCCCAGGGAGGCCAACATGGGGTCAGAACCTTATTAATCTAATGATTCTGGCTTCCTCGCCGAGGCCGTTTTGGGCGCTCTAACTACCCGCGGCCCCCCTCGTCCAGGTCCACGGGGAGGGGGTAGGGGGAGGGGTAATCCCCTCCCCGAAGGGGAAGAGGGAGGGGTGGACGAGGAAACGCCCTAAACCACCGACGCCCAGAGGGCTGGTGGGACTACGGCGGAGAGCTGGAGAATTGGAGTCGAGGGCGATGAGGACGGGGAGGACGGGGAGGAAGGTGGAGAGGACCAGCACCATCCAGAACAATCTGGCTGCTGTTGATGACGATGAGGATGCTGCTGATGCTGATGATGATGCTGCTGCTGCTGATGATGGTTATGCTGATGATGGTGGTGGTGATGGTGATGATGGTGAAATGGTGATGATGTTGATGATGTTGATGATGATCATGATGATGGCGATGATGCCGATGACGATGACGATGGCGATGACGATGGTGATGGTGACGACGATGATGATGAATCACTATGACAGGAGTGGTGGTGATGATGATGTTGATGATGTGTATGTTGATGTTGATGAGGATAATGATGAGGAGGAGGAGTTGGAGGAGGATGTTGATGTGGTTGATGATGAGGGTGAGGATGATGGTGCTGGTGATGGTGATGATGATCACGACGACGATGACGATGATTATGATACTTATGATGAGGATGAGGATGGTTATGGTATGGTGATGGTGATGGTGGTAGTAGTTGTGGTGATCATGGTGATGGTAGTGATTATGATGTCGATGATAATGATCCTGGTGGATGTTGAGGACTGAGGCGGATAAGGTGAGGATGGAGGGGGCCTGGTGGTCGCAGACCCTGTGACGGTTTCAACAGAATGCCGCCTCGCGATTCCGCAACGCCGCAGCTCCGAAATCGCGAACAACAATCGCACAAGGGTAGAGGTCGGGGGCTGGCTGGGAAAGATGCGCCTCGAGTGGGGGGGAAGTCACGGTTTTCTGGCTGCGCGCGAGACGAATTCATAGGACGGGCGGACCTTTCGATGATTTGTGTTGCAGAAGAGTTGAACATGATCTTAATAATGTTGCGAAAAGAAGTTGTCGCAGAATGTTGCGGAAAGATGTTGTCGCAGATGGTTGCCTCTTGAAACATTTGGAAGATTTCGTTGAAACTGCTGTTGAAACTGTTTCTGGCGAGTAAGATATCGACGCGATTGCAGTCGCTGGTCTGGCCGCTGAGTCCACGCGATCTTCCGCGGGGAAGTGGCAGAGTGCCACCGTCGACTTCCCGCTCCGGCCCGGCGGGCCGCTGCTGGGGTCGGGGGCGCCCGTGATACTTGGGAATTTCCATCTCAGGAGGGAAAGAAACACACAAACACAATTAATCGTCGACTCCACAGAATTTGGGGGGAAGACAAAAATCCATGGGAAATTTAGGAATTTGAGGGGAATATAAAAACCCAGAAAATATGGGAAAATATGGGGAATCCATTTATTTGTGTGTATTTATTTGTGTGTCCTGGGGCCCCCAGTTCGGTCTCACTTCCGGCGGAAGCAAGCCGAGAGCGGAACGCCGTTGCGCTCGGAATGGGACAGTCGTTGGCTCGTCCGACGGGGGCGCCTCGGTGGCGGTCGGGGCCCGCAGTTCCCCCGACTGCCCAGTGGCTCACCTCCCCGGCAGAGCTCTCGCAACGTGCGGGCCCGGCCCTCGCAGAGCCTCGTCTTTCGGTTCCGGCGGTCGCGGCCTCGGAAAACGCTCCGCGCCGCACTTCGGGAAAGCGCCCCGCGCCGCACTTCGGGGCCCGGTGTGGTCAGTCGAACTATGGTTCGCGCAGCATTGGCCGATGCCCCAGGGCACCTCTCCCACGCGCGCCCCGAAATGCCGCCCGGGGAGGGGTGAGGGTCGGCGCCTGTGGTTTGTGATACAGCGCGGTGCGCACTGGAGGTGGCGATACACTGGTGGATGGTGCACACTGGCGCGCGTTGCGACGTCGGGACCTGCTCAATCTAGCGCGCGCCGCCGCCGACCAAGGAGGGGCAACGACGTGTACTGCCGCACCTGCGACGCCTTGACGACCTGGGCCCGTGCGTCGACCTGAGCCCGGGTTTCGGCTACCAGCAGCTCGACGGCGACGCCGACTGGCGGTCGGTCGACTTGCAGGACTGCGGCCCCGCGGCCAAGGACAAGCAGCGCAACGCGGACGACTGCAGCTTGCGCCATTCATGGAGGAGCCCGGCATGGTGGCGGCCAACACTTACATCGGCGATGGGCCCTCGATCTACGGCACCAAGCATGCTCCGCATATCGGCTTCATGTTCATGCCTAAGACGCTATCATCAGCTGGGCCCTTGCGAGGGTTTGGGCGCGATCTAGAAACCGTTGCCATTTTTGAACTACGAGACCGCCGCCCTGCGCATTTTTGCCCGCACTCTTGCATTTTGCGCGCGACGGACTCCCACATCCACTGGGACATGGCCGAGAGGTCGCGCCTGGGCGATGTGCCGCGGCAGATTCGCTGGGGCAGGGAGGCGCTCGTGCCATCTCTTCGCAGTGAAGAGGGTTGCGCCCGTCTCTAATTTGATTTGGAACATCACATCAGCAGTTGCGCCGCTGAGTGGCAGACTTTGCAACCGGAGGGGCCGACGCCCAATGCTGGCTGGGGATTATGCGGGGATGCGCCACTCACCGTTGGCAGCAAATACCTTGCTCGAGCACCGGAATATCGCCCTCGCTACCGCGCGCTAGTTGAGACCATGCAGCCGCTACTTTATCAACGATGTGATCTACGGTGCCACCTTAGCGAATTTCCGCATCTCGTCTGCGACGTTCATCGTGCTGAGGGTCTGTAGCACCCTGCCAATT